CGGCACACTGCACAGGGTCAGGCGAGGGCCTCACCAGAGCACTGGCAGCGTTGGCAAACACGTACAGTCGGGCAGGCAGTCTCTCATGGTAAGCGGGCCCCCAGTGTTCCCCGGGACAAACAAGACCTCCGTCCAATCTCATGGGGGATGGATGCGCGCCCCTGACGCCTCGCCAGAACCACGCATTCCGTGCAGCTGTCCGCCTGTGACGTCACCTGAGCAGGAAGAGCAACGGCCGTTCATGGGGACACGATCCGAAGGGGTCCGAGAGGAGTTGGCCGTCGCGCAGCCCAGCGCACTGAGCGCACGCCCTCGATTGGACAGGTCAGCCGCAGGGTAGCCCAGCCGGGGCCGCACGCCGAGGCCGGCGGAGACGTCCGCGATCAGCCGCGGCGCGTGGGGGGCGAAGGTCAGCACCGACTGACAGGTCAGTGGTGACAGCTACACGGGCACGGGGAAGGTCAGCACCGACTGACAGGTCAGCGGTGACAGCTATACGGGCACGGTGAAGGTCAGTACCGACTGACAGGTCAGTGGTGACAGCTATGCGGGGCACGGTGAAGGTCAGCGTCGACTGGCAGGTCAGCGGTGACAGCTACACGGGCACGGCGAAGTTCAGCATCGACTGGCAGGTCAGTGGTGACAGCTACACGGGCACGGCGAAGGTCAGCATCGACTGACAGGTCAGCGGTGACAGCTACACGGGCACGGTGAAGGTCAGCATCGACTGACAGGTCAGCGGTGACAACTACACGGGCACGGCGAAGTTCAGCATCGACTGGCAGGTCAGCGGTGACAGCTACACGGGGCACGGTGAAGGTCAGCACCAACTGACGGGTCAGCGGTGGAAGCGGTACTGGGAGTAACTAAGGTCAGTGCCGACTGACAGGTAAGCGGTGACAGCTACACGGGGCACGGTGAAGTTCGGCATCGACTGACAGGTAAGCGGTGGAAGCGGTACTAAGGCCAGCACCGACTGACAGGTCAGCGGTGACAGCTATACGGGGCACGGTGAAGTTCAGCATCGACTGACGGGTCAGCGGTGGAAGTGGTACTGGGAGTAACTAAGGCCAGCACTGACTGACAGGCCAGCGGTAACAGCTACACGGGGCACGGTGAAGGTCATCATCGACTGACGGGTCAGCAGTGGCGACGGTACTGGGGGTGGTGAGGGCCAGTACGGACTGTTCCGCCAACAGTGGTGATGGCAACATCATTCGGCGAGGGCTAGCACAGAATGATGAGTCAGTTACGCTCCCCACCCGGCTGGAGGACTGTGTTGGAAGCTTCACGAGACACGGGACAGTCGTCATGTGTCTTAGAATCCTGTCACGCCCTATCAAAATAATCAGATGGATTCATCTAACTGCATCATATCAGAGCACAAGCCAAGTGAACTTGGTCATAAAGTTCATACGATACGACATTTCTCACGTTCTGCGCAAGTGTGCAGTTACTCGAATCTCGCCTGCCCGTAAAAATCCAGCGCACAAAATACCTTGTCCACTCTTTAAGTCACGCAACGTACTTACTAATTAGATGTTAACGTTGTCCGATGGTAGTCTGGGATACTTACCCTTAACTCTGACGTTATATTTGGTCACTCGGGAACGGGCCATGCTCGAAGATACACACTGGTACTTCCCACCATCCTTTTTCTACGGAAAAACGAGACTAGGTTGCCATTTCAAAAGCGTTTTGAGGAGTAAACTAACAAACACAGATAACGTTTAGTAGCATGAGTAATGATGAACGACTTTCTGACATTTCATGTTCAGTCTGCTTCTCATCTTATCACCACCTGCATCGATGAATGTTGAGAACTGGTCAGCATTGGGCTAATATCGCAATCACCCGGAACAACCGCCAACAGCGTTAGTTAAGCAGTGTTGCTTGAGTTAGGTAAGCTGTATCAAACTACTCATTTCTGAATCAAACATGCTCATTACTGCTCGTATCGGCGCACCACACATACGCGCACGGTTTCACATAGTTCCGTCCGCACGTCCGAAAAAGGTATCCCATAATATAAACTCAAATCCAATGCTTGTACCGGTCTCTATCTACATTTATGACCACACTTTCAATCTTCTCCAGTTACATTTCGACCAAACGCAAATGCATCGATCGTCAGGTTCGGTTGACAACGGCCCTCATATGACCATGACACTATCAATGACGCATAATTTACGCTACTTCTACTGCATCCTGCACATACCGCTGGTCTCTGGGCCCGCCGCTAGGTGCCGCACCTGCACTTTGCCGAGGACTAGCTGGGGGCGGCGGCCGGCCGGCCGGCCGTGTCGCAGCCACACCGTGCTGAACACCAACGGACCGGCCGACGGGCAGGTCAACGTCACTGACGCGTCCACGTCCACGTCCACGTCCTCAGGGCCGTCTGCGTCTGCGGCGCCTCTGAAACGGCGCGGTCGAACGGTGCACGTGCAGCTTCGGGTTGCCAGCCGTGGAAGCGGCGTTTTTAGGCTACAGAAGAAGCTCAGGCACCTTTCTACCCGGTGACCGAACACCTTCATATCGAGTCTCTTATAAAGAATAATTAATTGAAAAGTAGAGCAGTTCAGTGCTCGCGGAGTTCCGACCAGAATGCCTGGAATCCAATGGTTTCAAGCTTGATCACTAACCTCCATACTCAAGCACAATGGTTACAACGCCTCTGTCTACACCAATAACCTTGCACCTCGACCGTCTCCAATCATCTTTACACCCAGCGCCGGAGCACGGATGGCCGCTGTCCCCCAGCCGTGCCCACCACCGACCAGCAGCACCGCACCCTCCGCCCGCCCGCGCTTACCGTTCACCCGCAGACTGAAGAGCTTGCGCGCCGTGCCGGCCCGGCTGGCCGCCACGCAGACGTACTGCCCGGCGGCGGCGGCCGTCAGACGACGCAGCGTCAGCGCCTGGCCGCCTTCGGCGAGCGTGTCCGGCTCCCGGAGCACGTCCTCGTCCTGCGGCAGGGGGGCGCAGCGGTGGGGCGAGGCGTCGCCGGTACCAGCGTGTGCGCGTGTGCGGCAGGGCGGCGCAGCGGTGGGGCGAGGCGCCGCCGGTACCAGCGTGTGCGCGTGTGCGGCAGGGCGGCGCAGCGGTGGGGCGAGGCGCCGCCGGTACCAGCGTGTGCGCGTGTGCGGCAGGGCGGCGCAGCGGTGGGGCGAGGCGTCGCCGGTACCAGCGTGTGCGCGTGTGCGGCAGGGCGGCGCAGCGGTGGGGCGAGGCGCCGCCGGTACCAGCGTGTGCGCGTGTGCGGCAGGGCCGCGCAACAGTGGGGCGAGGCGTCGCCGGCACCAGCGTGTGCGCGTGTGCGGCAGGGCCGCGCAACAGTGGAGCGAGGCGTCGCCGGCACCAGCGTGTGCGCGTGTGCGGGAGAGCGTGCGCAGTTGCGCACGCGCCTTTGATATTGCGTGTGTACATGCATGCGTACAAGTTTTGGTTGCGCGTGCCTAAGTGTGCGCGTGTAAGTCACATGGGAACGGTGGAGATTTAGTGCAGGAGTCAAATCTAGGGAATCGGACCTGGAGGCTAACAGAATTGCACAAGCCATCAGACTTTGTGTGAAGAGCCCTAATAAGCCAGCCGCAGTGCTTGGTCATCGAGTCCACCCTCTCCCGAGACCTCGTCACCGACCTTGTACCAGGTGATGGTGGGCGGCGGGTGGCCGGACACAGGGCAGCGGAAGGTCACAGAGCTACCCTCCCGGGCCAGCACGTCCTCGGGCTCCTCCGAGGCTCCCTCTATGAACGGGGCCACTGCAATCGGGAGACGGGATGATGAGAAACGCGCGCGCAATGATGGGCTACGTCTTAGCAGAAGTTCGCCTGGTTTCGGACCTTGGTTTGCATATGACGCTGCAGCATGACAGGTTTCTGACATGCAGAGAAAGCGCTAATTCGCTTCCTTGAAGTGTGCAGTGGATTGCCTCAAAAGCTTAAGAGAGGCTTAATCGCACCCGGCTCCGCATCGAAAAAAGGACGTTCGCTCTTAGCAAGAATCTGACGCAAGAAGAGCCACGCTCAGCATTAGTCCCACCAAATCAATCGTCGCCGGAAGCCAAGGGCGGATCCAGGGTTTCATCAGGGAGGGGGAGGGGGCACGCAACATTGTGGGTTCATTGGACTTTGGGCCCCCTCCAAAAATATTCTTGCATTTCGGTCATTACATTTCTAAAGACAAGTCACATAACCACACACACACACACACGCACACCACACACACGCACACACACAACACACACCACACCACACACCACACACACACACACGTATATATATATATATATATATATACATAGGTACGTATATATGTATTAACTTATTCATTTATTTACTAAATACGGAAACCCATCTTAATGTGCATGGCCTTATAAAGCTAGGCGTACTACGCATGCATACACATAGAATTCACTCACTTTCTACAGACCATGTTCAGTGCTGTGATTCTAAGGCTAAGTGCTTCGGAACAACGGGCAAAAAAACCTAAGCTAGCTGCTAATAACCATCCAAACCAAGCATAGGCTTAGTTCCTAGTTCATGGTTTTTACGGCTAGCCGGCTGGGCGATGTAATCAGTTGATGTCTGATGACTAGTACGGAATTTTTCCCGTTATAAAGGAGTACAGCATATTCTAGCATTCTAAATATGTTAAGAATGTGATGCACTGGTATAATAAGTGTCACACACTCAATAGCTAATGCAAATGACACATACAACGTCGTCGGCATGTAAGATTACGTTTGGCAATTGCACGTAAAAATTCATCGGTGCATATTCGGCTACTGCCTAAGGCGAAGGCGCCAAGGCCAATAGGGACGGAACCTGAGTGATCATGGGTGCCGTAGGAGAACAACACAGTGGCTCCCGTCAACAAGTATAGGGTACTCAGTGCAAGCAAAAAGAACCCAAGACCAACGTGGTGGGCCCCCAAACGATCGGTAGTGCCTCGTCAGGCTGACATATAATGCCCCGGCCAGAGCACAGGACCCTCCGAGCAGAGGGGAATTATCCAAGACCATAAATTAATACCACTATGCGATCAAGAGTGTGCAGGCAAACAACAACGAGCAACACGAGCCCCGATAGGAGTGAAGAGTCCTCCGCAACTGAGACCAAAGGGAGAGAGCCCTCGATCAAAGTAGATGGTCCCTGAGCATCGAGTGTTTCCGTGCCTTACCTTATAAAAGCCCTAGCAACTGCACAACGCCCTTCAAACAAGTAGGGAGAGCCCGAGACTTAAATGAAGGGCCCCTGAACAACTGAGTGTGCCCTGGCATATGGGGTCCCGGAAAAGGCGTAAAGAGCCTTTCGGGCAAATGGGGAGAATCCGCGGAGGAAAACCTGATCGATCAACGATGCTCAGGCATGGAGGCAAATAGCGCCCCAACAGCATATTGGGCCCTACGAGAAGATACAAAGAAATCAAGGGCAACATGGAAAGCTCCTTAGCAATCAGATGGACCCGGCAAGTGGACATATAGGGCCAGGAAACCAACAGTGCAATCGCTCTATACAGCGCAATGAGCACCAGAAATTCCCCGAAACAACACTTTCTCAATCAGCAAAAAACGAACCTGGTCTGCTTATGAACTCTTTACTTTGGCTAACAATTGCTTTTGGTCGTCTGTAGGCCCAAGGACATCCAGTTTTGTTGTAAGAAAGCTGCGTCCGGATGGACGGTTATGGGCCCCTTCGGAGCCTTTAGGTTCCCTCGGCGTGGTCCGTAGGGCATGGTCCCGTGTCTTCCCCCCCCCCCCCCCAACCCCTCTGCATCCGCCACCGGCCCGAGCAGCTCAATAGATACAGTTCGCCAAGAACATAGAACTATCCATTCAAAAAAAGAATACTCACGACAAAATGATAGAATTTGCCCGCGCAGCTTATCAGAAGGGACTCGAGAAGAACGTAGGGCCCTCCATTCAAGTAAGAAGTCCCCAAAACGCAGTGCGGAGGGTTCCGAAAGATGGAGTATACCCGACCAGATTATCAGGTGGCCCAGACGGGAGTGTAGGGCCCTAAATTCCAACATCAAGACCCTATGTGAACGGCCCCCGGACAATTCAGTGTGGCCGAAGCGGCGAACAGATGGGGTCCCCGACAAATACGTAGGGCCATCCACTCGGATAGAAAGTGCCCAAGACGCTATGTGGGGGGGGGGGGGGAAGGATGTGCGAGTGTACCCGAGTAGGTCAACAAGTGGGGCTCCGGTAAGAGCGTACGTTCTTATACGTTCAAGAACGTACGTTCGGCCTTCCGTTCAAATGTGAAATACCCATGTCACGATGAAGAGGGCCCCGAATAATCGAGTGCGCCAGAGCAGGTTGATAGATAAGGCCCCCGAAAAGCGCGGAGGGATCTCCACTCAAAAAGTAAGTACCTAAAACCACATGTAGAGGTCCCCTACGATCGAATGGGCCCGAGCATCTTATAACAGAAGGGGCCCCGACATGAGCATAAGGCCCTCCATTTAAATAAGAAGTACCTAAAACCCGCTGCGGAGGGCCCCCGAAAGATGGAGTGTGCCCAAACAGGTTATCAGATGACCCCGATAGGAGCAGAGGGCCCTAAATTTAAACACTAAGAAGCAATGTACAGCCCCCCCCCCCCCGAGCAATCCAGTGTGGCCGAGGAGGCGGACAGAGGAGCCCCCCAAGTGTGCAGAGCCCCATTCAAATAGCACGTGCCCAAGGTCCAATGAAGAGGGCCCCCCGGACGATTAAATGTGCCCGACCAGATCATCAGATAGCCTCCCCCAAAAGCGTAGGGCTCCCACTAAGAAAAGAAGCACCCAAGACCCAGTATGAAGGATCCCCGAACGACTGGTGTGAACGAGCAGGCCATCAGATGGTCCCCGACAAGAGTGCAGGGCTCTAAGCAAGCGACAGAGAATTGGAAGCGTTCTAGACCAATGGATAGGGCCCGTGAACATATGGCAAGTGTGTCGGTAGGCTAAATGAGACCCATGTAAGGGGCCGCTGAGCAACCGAGAATGCCCCGGCAGCTCAAGATATGGGACCCCGGCTTAACCCCACAGAGCCTTTCTGGCGAATGGAAAGTACATGTGGAAGGGCTCGTGATTGACAAGAGTGCCCCGGCACGCGAGCAGGAAGGTTGCCAACAACAGCGCAGGGCCCTCCGAGCAAATGCAAGGAAATCAGGGGCAACGTGGAGTGCTCCCTAACGATCGAAATGATTCTGCAAGTGAGCACATAGGTCTCCTGAAACAGCATGGGGCCCGTAGACAGTGCAATGAGGCTTTAAATTTCCAGTTCACAACTTTTATAACAATTGGTTTTTTGACTTCTCATAAGCCCTTTACTTTCGCTTACAGCTGTTCTTGGTCGTCTGGAAGTCCAGAGATATCCAGTTTTGTTGCGTTTTGTGTCTAAAAAACTGCACCTGTTCGGCCGGCGACGGGCCCCCTCGGAGCCAATGGGCCCCTTCGGGCTCCAAGGGGGCCATGACCCCGTGCCCCCTCCCCCCTCTCTGGATCCGCCCCGACCAGAACCCATGAATGGTGATACAATGGTCCCACAGGTACAAAAACGCTGATAAGGATCCGTTCATGCGACCCTTCAGTGGAAGCCGATCCCTCTCACCGAGGACTTTGAGAGCCGACCGTCCCCGGGCCGAGCCAACGAAGCTCGAGGCGACGCAGGTGTACACGCCGAGGTCATCCAGCGAAGCGGCGGCCACCAGCAGCTCGCCGGTGTCGGCCACGTGGGCGTAGTTACCGGATGTGGCACCAGGGGGCAGCGCGATCGCGTCGTCGCCCGTGTACCAGACGCGACTGCGGACACGATCGCATACACGCTAGGAGATACACTCAGGCTCAAAGCCACGCACTGTGCGAGGTAAGCCTAGCCCCATTCAGCGTGACCCGCCCACTGTAAATCTTTCTGCCAAATGTTTAGGATACAGGCTTTGGTGGCTTAAGAAAGCAATCAAGCTCTGTCATACGCACGTTATACTGCGGATGAGGCGTGCAGTATGATCCGTGCCTGACGATGCACGCGTCTGTTGTTTTGTCGTGCGGTATCAGACGGAAACAGCGCTGTGGGACGTTGTAAATCGAAGCATCGCGAGCTGTCTCACGTCCACACTCTTCGATCACCTCTACCTGCGAGGCATACTGTCCCGCACTGCACCCGCGCACGGCGGGGCGAATGGGTAGAGTCGAAGCCGGAAGCTGACAGTGCTTCTAACACAAATGCTGCGGACGCCTGAATTTGCATGACACGACTTCTTCACGACATAATTTATGATGCGAAGACTTCTTATGCATAAACTTCGACGTTAGCAGTAATTGCATTAAAGTCCTGCCGTCGAGTCAGTCGAAGTAGACGCTCGAGCCCGCTGAGGATTAGCACAGACGGGCATCGACGCAGCTACACGGAACACTATGCCTTCAGAGTTCACTGGACCAGCGCCTGCCGCCTTACAAGGTTACGCCACCGTCTGACACCACCGGCAGGTGCACAGTCTCACGTCACCGCCGCGTCACTCACGTGGGCTGGGGGTTACCGTCGATGGCGCAGGGTAGGCGCGCCTGCTCGCCCGCCTGCACCTCCACCTGGGCGGGCACGGCCACGGCCGGCCACGTGAGCACGTCCAGCGAGAACGCCTGCGTGGCGTTGCCGAGCGCGTTCCTGGCCAGGCAGGAGAGCTGCTCGGCGTCCGAGCGGCGCACCTCTTCCAACAGAAGCTCGCGGGCGGACGGGAACTGGCGGGCAGCGGCGGTATGGGGGGTCACAGCGGAACGCCGTGGCTGGGCGGCCCGGCAGCGACAGCGCGGCCCCATACATGGCTTCGTGTTGATGTTGACCGAGCTGGATAACATGCCTGCAATTGTATTGCAGCTGTGGTCGTTAGATTTCGTGGACGTTTCTTTTTTTGGAAATACAATTGTTTGAATGGTTTTGATTAGTGGGTTTCGGTTTTGGGCAACTGATGAACATAGCATGCTGAGTGTACCCTGAAGCTACTACTCAAGCTGTGTCGTCCAGGTTAAAGGATAACCTTGCTTCTGTCCTTTCGTCAAACAAAAATGCAGAGGGTTTTACGCGTCGCACAATGCTGCGATGGGCTGCCGTGTTCTTTATGAACGTTGATAGACTTCACAAATAGTAGCCAACGCTCCACCTGATGTGTATGAGCCTTAATTAAATGGTCCTGACCAAAAACGAACGTGAATGACCACCCTCCGCTGAGGAAAGTCAGCAGCCATGCATCTTTTGTACCAATCTGAATGGTGTTCAGCAGGATCGCCCGTGACTAACTGGATCCCATAGCAGCCGGCGGCCATCTCACCTTAATGCGGCCGGTCTCAGCGACGATCGGCCGCGACTGGTTGAACCAGACGACGGTGGGCGGCGGATTGCCCTCCACCTGGCAGAGCAGAGAGACGGGCAGGCCCTCCTCCACCTGGACGGGCCGTGCCAGCTCGTCCGCGGAGGCCGTCAGCCGAGGAGGGTCTGCCGGTGCCGGCCGCCCGGTGACCGCACGGCGGCGCAAGCCACACCGCTCCCGCCGACAACCCAGGCCAGGCCGGAGTGACGCACTTGTTGAACAGAGGACTAGAAATTTGATTTGAAAAGAGAACAGCGTGGAGCGGCGGTGGCACGCGTTGTAGGTTAGAGGGATGTGCCGCAACAGCCCAGAAAATCATTGGCTACTAAATGGCCGTTCATACAGCGGAAAATAAGGTCAGATAAAAGAGCTAGAATTATTTCATAATGTAATATATTAAATAGCATCAAGCTGCTTAAAGAGCCATGAAACGAGCGTTCCTTCAGTGAAAGATGTTCAGATAATGCCAGTATAACGCATGGCTAACGTGGCGCACCATCCCCTCAAAGCTCTTGTGGATCCTAGCAGGCCTTACACACGCTGAACCAGTCTCTTTATGCACGCACAAGTGCATGCGGCACGCTCACACTCTGACACTCGCGCGTGGACTGCTCCAGACCACTCACAGACGACGTCGAGCTTGAACAGGTACTGGACGGAGCCGGCCTGGTTTTCGACAACGCAGGTGATGTCGCCGGCGTCGCTCGGCACCGGGTACGTCAGCTCCAGCTGCAGGTCGTCCACCACGTACGCGGCCCCCTGCAGGGGCTCCGAGCCGTGCAGCCACTCCACCGCGTACTCTGCCAACAAGGGCCGCGGGCAGAACTGCTGTCACTCCGCTGCGTGCACTGGGCACGGAGTCAGGCCCGGGACAGCCGTCATCATACCGCGCACTCTAGGGTGGGAGCGTTAGAATGCTGCGACCGTTCCACGGTGCTTTCTGGGGAAGGGAGCCGATTACAGCGGCCACCACATCGGGTACTCCGGAATTAAATATTGCAATCAGATATGATTCGCTGCACCGTTCCAGCCGCCCCATCTTTCGAGTGTTGTCGTATTGCAAGTGACAGATGTGGGCCCGGAGGTGCCGCCCGGAAACGCTGCGCCGAGAGACGCTGCCCGGTGTCCCCGAGCTCACCTCCCAAGAAATCCGTGTCAACCGGACAGTCGAGCTGGATCGGAACTCCCACTGGAATCTCCATCATTTCCTCCGCGGCGCCGAAGATCTCGAGTTTCGGCACCTCTGGCCAGGGGAGAGCGCGTCAGCTGACTAGTCGCCCAGTCCACGGAATTCCTAACTCCGACAACACTCCAAGCCGCATGGGCACGAATGACGTCAGGAGACAGAGCTCAGATATGCATTAAAAGGATGCGTCATTGTGAGGCGTTCAAATGGAGTGCATGTGACACGGATGTCAGTTTATCTGACATCAGCTAAAAAACAAACAGCGACTTTCAAGCCGATAAGAAGTGTGCACCTCACACCCCTCCCTCCCATCCCATCCCCCACCCCCCTCCAGTCACCACTCACGCACCGATGAAATCGACGTCGATGACAGCCCTGTCGGTGCCGGCGGGGCTCTTGGCGAAGCACTCATACTCGCCGCGGTCGAAGTGCGTGAAGCTCTGCACGGTCAGGCGGCCGCCGCGAGCGCGCACCAGACCCTCGGCCGTCACCTCCTGGCCGAGCCGGTACCACGTGATGCCCGGCGGCGGCTGACCCGTGACCGTGCACTCCAGCACCAGGTCGTGACCCTCGGTCGCCACGGCCCGCTCGGCCAGCGTGACGCGCGGCGGCTCTGGGGAGGGCACGGGCCGACGCCGATCATCGTGACAGGTACTGGGTTCTGCATCGGCGATTGCAACTGCACAGGTCATTAACACCGACGCCGCTGGTGGGACCAGGGCAGGTGAGAGTACTCGGAGCAGACCGCCACCCAGCTGCAGCGGCGCGTCAGTCGAGAGTGAGGGGCGGCTGAAACTCGGTCCATGGTATTCGTTGAAGACCTGACATCCAACTACCATCGTCAATGTCATTGGGGTTTTACGGCGTGCTTAGCTGCCGAGGATACATGATGTAGCTTACCTTACACCCTGACAGGGAAGACGGACACCACAGGGAATCGAACACCCGTACCTCTGGTTTCCAAGACGCCCAGCGTAACCATCACAGTATCAGTATCAGTCTGAAAAAGGACATGCGTCTCTCTGTGTTCGACCACGAGAGGCCAAGAGTGACCACTTACTCACCGCGCAAGCTAACAGGAATTAACCAGAACTCACCGAAGATCTGCAGGCCGAAGGGCACCACGAGCAGACCAGCCGAGTTGACTGCGAAACACGAGTAATTGCCTGCGTCCGATAGCTCCACGTCGCGCACCGTCAGCGTGTTTCCGTCCATCGTCATCTGAAGCCGATCATGTCGCTGTTAGCTGATCACACAGTAGCGACAGCGTATGCTGGCGATGATGAAGCCGATCATGCCGCATGCTGTTGGCGCCGGCGCCGTCCTCACAGCAGCCGTGCCAGAAGCATAACAAGACGTTGGATCAGCCGTCTCGTCTCGCGGCGGGAGAACGGAGCCTAAGAGATGATATGGGTGCTAGGCATGTGAACGTTCGACGCTGCACTTCGATATGGTGGCAACACTCAGGGTGGCAGCTGGGGTAGCGACAGCCAAACTTCAACCGGGCCACGTCCGCCGCGGTAGTCAAACGACCGTCACGTTTACAAAAGCAGAGAGGTGCCCCGTGTTAAGTGAATTCGCCTTTGCACCGATGTGCTACGAAACCCCCAATGCTTGCATTCGTGAACGAAATAAATTTGCTGTCGTTGTACTCATGGTCTTTTTGCTGACCTTGGCCACTTCCGGCTCCAGCTTTTCCCCGTCCTTGTACCAGGTGACCAGGGGGGCGGGGTGGCCATCAACATCGCAGACCATGGTGGCGTTGGCCTTTAGACGGGCCTTGACAGAATACTCGAGCTCCCGCCTCAGCTTCGGCAGCGCTGCGATGGAGACCGGCTCACGTCATAGCTCGCCCCGTGGCGCATTCCGGTCATCGGCCAGGTGAAACGACAGCTATGCTCACCAGTGAGCTAAGATACCACACCGAAGCCGCATCTCAGCAAGCTGGGGAGGGCAACATGAGCCAAGCAACAACATATCTTGAGTCCAAAGTGAATTTTGATTTGACATGCATCTATGGAGTTAAATTGATCGTCCTTGCACCTTCACCGCCATGCCAGCTCGCGCCAGGCAGATACCACAACCTGCGCTATGCCCAGACGCGACTCACAGTACACGAGCACCGTGTAGACGATGCTGTCGTTGCCGACGCCGTTGCTGACGTCGCAGCGGTACTGGCCGCTGTCGGTCGGCTGGACGAAGCCCAGCTGGAGGGTGGAGTCGCTGGCGGCGTGCGCCACCTTCTTCACTGCCTGGTGGGAGGGGAGGACGAGAACTCACCGGGTCAGCCACAGACGGCAGAGCTCGGACTGAACGTCGTGCAGTCGGCGTCGGACACGCTGACTACGGCAGCAGGTGAGCGGACTCTGGACTGGAGAGACAGTGCCATGACTTGCACATGATGAAGTCTCGGTTGACCCAATGACATCCTCTCAGGACAATGTGCAGCCTGTCCTTCACTGAACTCTTCATTTCAGGTCCAGAGCAGGGTCAAGTGGGAATTTACCGTATCTCCGTTCTGAGTTCAGAGAAGGCTTCGATGGGCTCACAACGACCTCTTCGCCCCGGATCCAGAGCAGAGTACCACGAATATTGCTGGGCCTGGCACTGACCTCTCCGTCGCGGGTCCAGAACAGGGCCGGCTCCGGGTTGCCGGACGCGTGACACTCGAGCTGTAGTTCCGAGTCGTTCGGGACCTCCACTAGGAACGTGCCGTCCGGGTCGGCCTCCGCCTCTGCGCTCGGGTCCGCTCGCGCCGGGGCTGCGTGCAGGCACGGGGTCAGGGCCGTGTCACAGACCAAAGGTAGTGACCTCAAGAGGGGTTGACCACTTTTCAGCTGTAGTCGCGTTCTTTAATCGTCGAAAGACTTGAGAAAGCTCACCAAAAACATGTGCCACAGATGCATTTGTCGATCTATGCAATAAAAGGAGCGAAACAAGCGGCGAGCTTGACCTACGTACAAAAATTAATAATGAAAGTGATGCGCAACCGCCGACTGGACTTACTCAGAACATTGACGGTGAATGTCTGGGAGTCGGTGCCGGCCTCGTTAGCGGCGCGGCAGGTGTAGTTGCCGTCGTGGTCCTCGTCCGCACGCAGCACGTGCAGAGTCTGACCCCCGTCCGTGAGGTGATACAGGTCGGAGAGGGACGGGATGAACGCAGACCCGTCCTGCCGCGCAAACGACGCAGCGTTTGAAGAGTCTCTATCTCGGTGTTAAAATGCGGAGGGCGATTTGGCGGACTGGACATTCACTCGATTCAAGTAGGGCTAGCATTTTTAGCTGTACAACTTTTCGGAAGAAAACGGGCAACACTTGGTTAGTTTTTAAATCGGTATATTTATGCCATACTGATGATTTATTGCCATCGTGGAAACCGGACAGGACAGGAGACTGAGTAGGAGAATCCCTTTATATACATATCAATAAATTGAAATAATCGGAAAATACGAAAACGTATAAATCATTAAAATGCGACAAACATTTTTGGTCTATCCTTTTCCACCAAAAATAAGCAGTGCGGTAGCAGTTCCACAACCTACATGATCATTACCTTGTACCAGGTGATGTTAAACTCCTCCATGCTTTCAACAAAGCAGGACATTTCTAGTGTCGATCCACGCACAGCTTCTAACGTAGTGTTCTCGCTGCGTCGGACGCTGGGAACACCTGCGCAGCAGGAACGGGCCGGCGCCAAATAAAAGACATGCTCATTCTGTCAGGCTTAAAACAGCCTGGCGATGCCTTAAGACATGGTGAGCATTCAAATAATATGAAGCCGCGTTTCCTATGCTTACAAACACTCAAGAACTTACTCAAAACTTTGACCGAGAATTCCCGCTTCAGTTTGCCGGCTTCATTTACGGCAATGCAGGTGTAGTCCCCGGCGTCCGTGGGAGCCAGCGAAGGCAGCGACAGCGTATGCTCTTGATCGCCCGCAACCGCAGGCAACTCCATACCATCCCTCAACCATATCACCTGGAGCAAAGGACAGACGTGCAAACGTGTTTGCTGACAGGAAACCTCAGTTAGCAAACGCATGCGAGAACTGCCCGCCTCGGAGATCGGTGCCTGGCTATTCGGTACGCAAATACGTTTTTCAAAGCATCATAATCACGTATTGCGCACCTGCCGATCATGTAATCGCCACAAACTGTTCAGTTTCAGAACAACCATCTCTGACCCTGAACCCATGACACCAGTCGACAACAGCGACCAGACACATCGGTCCTCGGCCCTGACCCTCGATGTAAGTCAGCGTTTCCAACCCGAGCACCCTACGGTGACCCTGTCGCCGGACAAGTCACTACTGCGTGACCCGTGCGGCGTCAACTGTGTGATCTGTCTCCAAGGTCAGGAGGCCCTAACCCGCTGCTGACCCCGTCCCCGGCGACAACGAACCTTTGCCGGTGGCTGGCCCGTGTTACGGCAGTCGAGCAGAGTCGACTCGCCGGCGCGCACCACGAGTTCCGTCGGCACCGACGCGTCGACGAAGGCCGGCGGACTAACGACCGTGACGCGCACGTCGACGGAGGCGCGGCCCACCTCGCTGACGGCCTTGCAGTGGAATAGGCCGGCGTCACCGAGCTCCGAGCTGCGGCAGCGGGAAGAGTAGGGTGAGCTGCAGTTAACCGGGGGCCGCAGGCGCGGCAGAGGGTCACGGCAAAGAGATGCGACATGGGCACGCCGAGATATCAAATAACATCAGTGGTGTATGCATTGGGGGGAGAAGACGTGACACATGCCAAATGAAATTTGTCAGGAAATGACACTGACGCTCGGTTTGTCACGATTGCCTCCGAGTTTCGCTTTATCTGAACGCTGACACCAGGTACTGATAGCCACACGCCATCATGTTTTGGGGCATTTCTTGCAATTTGTCATTGGACATCCAAAGCACGAAAGCCCACCCTGAAAGACGCCAATAGATATCAGCTGGTATACGCCGCACCGCAGTACCAATGGTCCGTCCAGTGCGCCATCTGACCACCTACCTTTGTTTGTAGATGTGGTTGTCTGAGGCCATGTAGGGAGCGAAGGTCCACAGATCGGAGAGGGTCGCGGTAGACTCCTGTCCCGGCGCCGTCCGCCACCAGCTGACCTCCGGCTCCGGGTTACCGGAGGCGTCGCACATCAACCGCAGAGGGTCACCCTCCAGCACCGTCACTGCAAACGCAAGGCGCACCACTGAACACCGCCAGTGTGAGTGCAACGGGTGACCCAGGCATCAGCGTTTCGGTACGGGGCCCACTGCGGGTCACGCGCCAGCATTGTCACTTAAAACGGAGCGCTCATCCCCAGCACTGGACGTGACCTGCAATGGACTAACGCATTCGGCACAACCAGAGTGTCCCGTGGCCCTTACACTCGTCCGCTGCCACGGAGAACGGCACCCTTCACTGACAGTTCACTCGGAGAGCTTATGTCCGAACTGCAGCGCCCAGCAGCGACTACGGACGACTTCTGCCCGGGAGTCTTCACAGCCTGGCGCCTCTAGCCTGTCACGAGGCTAGAGGCACACTAGTTACATCCACACTCGCTACGCTAAATCTTCCCAAGGTAAGCTGCGTGCCGCATTCATGAGTGGGCGTGCCCTTTCCCCTGATGGGAGCACCGTTCTAGCGCCCGCACATAACCCGAAGAAGGGCCACCGTGCGGGTAAGTCCCTGTAGCGGAGGACTCCACATGGTTACAGTCCTGCTCCATCCTCACTTCTCTCCTTCATTCCATAGCCTGAAATGGTCATCACTAGCCAAAACATTCATGACCCCTAGCAAACTAAACTTGGCCAGTCGTTCTCTTTCTGAAATAAGTGTCATTTTCGTCCTGACGGTGCCGCGGCGGTGGACGTGACGGTGGGCGTGGAGCCCCTTGGCGCCGAGAGCCCTTTCCTGAGCTGACTGAAGCGCTCAGGTCCAGTTTAATCTCCAATGACCTGGAGTGTTCCTCCGCTGACTTTAAGTGCCCTCCCACTGACCCGTATCCGCCTCGACGGCGGCTGAGGGCGGCGTGAGCACATCCAGCGCCGCTCGCCGCACCGCCTCTCCGGCCTCGTTGTGTGCGCGACACGTGTAGCTGGCGGCGTCCTCGGACGTCACGTTTCGCAGCTGGAGGGCCCCGCTCGGCAGCAGCTGCACCCTGCGTGGACGGCAGAGACGGCCGCTGAGTGCACCCGCAGGCAATCGCAGTGGATACGCACCGTCCACAGAGGAGGCGGCGCACCAGTTCAGACAGAGCCAATCGCGGCGGACACAAGGACTGACCGAGTGCGATGACTAACTGCGACGACAAGCCGCTTGCCTTTCGGCGCGGATGATCGCCATAGCTCCTGCTGACGGGATGAACAACAGGCGGAGGTCTTTGTGCCCCAGAAAATCCTTGCAGGCTATTTCGAGATCATAAATATTTCACTGGCTGTGCTCAGAGTTGCAGTTGTGCTCAGGCAATGCATTTGACACTAACTGGACATGGCGGATCATCACTCACCTGTCGTTCGTGTCGATGGGACGGCCGTCGCGGCGCCAGATGCGCTCCGCTGCCGGCTCGCTGGCCTCCAGGTCACACCCAATGACGACGTCCTCGCCCTGCAGCGCCTCCAGCCGCTCCGGGTAATCCTGCGCGCGAAGGTAGCAGGGCTTTACCTACCGGCCTCGAGTGGTCATAGTGTTGATCACGCCGAAAAGGCACAGAGCGCGGGTTGATATGGCGCGGCACTTAGCGACTGTTTGGAATTTTCGACGCTGTTATATATTGTACATTTCGACGCGTGGCATCTGCGGCAACTTAACATCACATTCGTTCTGAAATTCCGGGGTTTGCAGCTCGCGTGCCTGAATTTTAGTTGTTTTCAACTTTTGAATTCTTGTCGCACGATAGTTATTTTTGGTGTCCCCCAGACAAGCAGTCTTCTCTATGTGTTTGCGCACCATCCTCCCACTACATGGCATCCTCGGTGGCCTCTCGTCACTCACCCATCGTCACTCACCTTGAGCCGGGGCGGCACCAGCACGCGCAGGAGGACCTCGTGGCGAGCGCGGCCGATCTCATTTTCGGCCCGACACATGTACGCGGCGGCGTCAGCGAGCTGGACGGCCGGCAGCAAGAGGGTCCGATCGTCGGCGGAGATGATCAGCGATGACGTGTTGCCCCACAGTTCGATCCCGTCCTGTCGTCGCCGGCACAGGTGTGAGGTGGGGGGCAAGTGACGGGCGTTGCTTACGCATGGCAGTTATTGGTTTTAGGATGACTTTGGGCCGCCTGCACCGCTTCAAAAGACTATAATTTCGGTTCGGTAGCTTCGTCACGCGGGACGGTATGCAAGCATTACTCTGATGTTACAGCAGAACCGGTGCGCAACCTTTGCATTTAAACCCAAACACTATAAAAATATGCTTTTGAAACTTAAACGCCTTTCTTGCCCAAAGAACGCAGCAGCAGAGAGCCGCGTTCAAATTTTACAGCAGAATCGCCGCAATGCCCGTCTGAAACTGCAGAGCGGCGTACCCGGAACCAGACGACATCTGAGTCCAGGTCCAGACGGTCCAACGGACACCGGATCGCTGTGGCCTCGTGCTCCAGCACGGTCCGCTCCCGGTCGGCTGGGTCCAGTGTGGGGGGCGCTGTCCGGGGCGGGGGTAGAGACAGATCAACTGCGGAGTCCGGACCTCAAGCTCGTCACCGGTCGTTACAAACACCGGACATGACTGGTACCATCAACACGACTGTGAGCTCGGCACCGGTCAGTACAAACACCGGACATGACTGGTACCATCAACACGACTGTGAGCTCGGTACCGGTCAGTACAAACACCGGACATGACTGTTACCATCAAAACGACTGTGAGCTCGGTACCGGTCAGTACTAACACCGGACATGACTGGTACCATTAACACGACTGTGAGCTCGGTACCGGTCAGTACCAACACCGGACATGACTGGTACCATCAACACGACTGTGAGCTCGGCACCAGTCAGTACAAGCACCGGACATGACTGGTACCATCAGCATGACTCTGAGCTCGGCACCGGTCAGTACAAGCACCGGACATGACTGCTACCATCAGCATAACTCTGAGCTTGGCACCGGTCAGTACAAACACCGGACATGACTGGTACCATCAGCATGACTCTGAGCTCGGCACCGGTCAGTGCAAGCACCGGACATGACTGGTACCATCAACGCGACCCTGAGCTCGGCACCGGTCAGTACAAGCACCGGACATGACTGGTTCCATCAACACGACTGTGAGCTCGGCACCGGTCAGTACAAACACCGGACATGACCGGTACCATCAACACGACTGTGAGCTCGGCGCCGGTCAGCACAAGCACCGGACATGACTGGTTCCATCAACACGACTGTGAGCTCGGCGCCGGTCAGTACAAGCACCGGACATGACTGGTACCATCAGCACGACTCTGAGCTCGGCACCGGTCAGTACAAGCACCGGACATGACTGGTACCATCAGCATGACCCTGAGCTCAGCAACCCTCGCCAGATTGCATCATTAGCTGCCACGTCAGCTGATATGTCGACATCGCGGCTCAAATGCAGTGAAACCGATAGTGGAAATAGGCGTTGTATGTGATGCGTTCATGTGAATGCTAACGGTTTCGGACGCCGACACCAGCATTATTATGATGTAAACACAACCATGCTTGTATCCACCAGGCACGCGAAAGAGACATTCCCATCTTTACAGCTAGATATCGCTCTTCAGACACTTTGATGATCTCAACGCAAAAACCTCCGAAAGCAACGGCGCAAAGTGGAAGACCTGTACGAACACGTAGGCAGCGCCCACCACCGCGCAGGGCGTGTACGCCTCCTCCCACCTCGTCTAACCCCGGTACGCAGCATGGAGCAGCCGATCTCCCTCTCACCGATGACAGCGACGAACACCTGGGCGCGGTCCAGGCCGACGCCATTCCAGGCCAAGCACGTGTAGAGGCCACTGTGCTCGGTCCGGGCGGCGGCGGCGCGCAGGGTGCCCCCCTCATCCAGCAGGGAGCCGTCCGACGACAGCTCGGGCCTATCACTGTACCAGCTGATGCGGGGCGGCGGCTGGCCAGTGGCGACGCACGGCACCTCCAGAGGCTCGCCGGGGGTCAGCAGCAGCGACGGCAGCGGCGGAGAGATGGACGGCGGCTCTGTCGCCGGCAGGAAACAACTGTCAGCAGGCTTTCAGTCGGGCGTCCTTTCAGCTAACTATATTCAGTCTGAAATAAGCGCTTGGATGCAGGCAGATGTGTGAGACGCTCACGAATCAGAAAACAAAGTTCGCAGCACGCGACTGGAATCGAAAAATAGCTTCACAGCTCATGCCAGGTGTCGAATCAGATACGCCGGCACGGCAGGCAACACGCCATGTCGAGATAAGCCCGCGGGGGGAGGCAGCGACACAGAGGCCGCACCACACGCGCCGCACCAGTCACCAGGCTACGCACCGAGCACGGCCAGGGAGACGGTCCAGCTCGCCTCGGCCAGCACGTTGCGGGCATGGCAGGTGTAGTCGCCGGCGTGCTCTGGCCGCAAGCTGGCGATCCGCAGGAGGTGACCGTGCGCCGACACGGTCCAGTCAGACGTCGCCGGCACCGGCTCCTCCCCCTGCCAGGCGTGGGACGGCACGTTCGTGGGCACGGGCTCCCGCCGCGTCACTACTCACTCAAGGAATGGGGGGCGTGGCAGATCGCTGAGCTAAACGTGGACCCCTCAGCGAAGACGCTCGGTTATGAAATACGCGCTTCGTAGCGACAGGTTTGGTCCATAAAGACGTCGACTTGGTCCACCGCTGCACTTCTCATTGCGTAAGAATTTTATTGTGCACCAAAACACTACATCAGGGTACGGTCTTATAACGGACAGGCAAACTATGAAATATCAAAATATGCAATTCAGAAATAAATATCACCTATGTACAACACAGTGTAACTCAGAAATATTGCAAAATTGGTATATACTGTAACGTTGCATAGTTCAGTTTGGACTTGCAGCGGATAGAACGCACCTTATACCACGTGATGTCGGGATGGGGAATGGCCACGACAGGGCACCGCAGCACTATGGACCGATGCACCTTCTCCTCGTACTCAGCCACATCGTCATCAAAGTACGGTGGCACTGAAAGAAGCACCGATGCTGAGACGTTTCTGTAGATGTTCCAGTTTCGAGCGGTCATCATAAAAGAGTTCGTTTAAAACCAGTCCTACCACCTAAACTAGTCCTAACTACATCCATAAATCACCACAACTATGCGCTGCAGGCACTCACATTCTTGAAAGTAAGTACGTTAAGTACGTAACATCCTTCTGAAAATAAGATGGCTTTGACTCCAGAAGATTTCCTCAAGCATTCCAGCCCTTCATGAACGAGAATGTTGGCGCTCCCGGCTGGGGACGCAGCCATTGTGTCACTCACGCGCGCCACTCACCGAGCACCTCCACCGAGTAGGTCAGCTCGTCCTGCCCGGCTTCGTTCGACGCCAGACAGGTGAACTGGCCGGCGTCCTCCCGCTTCATGGAGGGAATCAGCTGAAACAGGCGGCGTCTCCTCAGCCGAGGACCTAGTGACAGCACGGCACGAACGCTGCAGCGTCGGGCGTGCTCATTTGAATCTGCTCTTGGCAACTCACTTGTTTCGGCGAAAATCACGCTAGTACAGTTACAGGCACCAGCATGTAATTCATGAACAACCAAGTTGCCATGTTTCCCGCTCTGAAAACATCATAGACATCTAGTTTATCACATCATAGACATCTAGTTTAATAACTCTATGAATGATACCATACCACAGCGCATCACCTCACACCTCACACCTCGTGTACCCCGCTAGACAGTGTACACAAGGAATTAGACCAGACGGCGAACGAGGTCGTTAATAGAAAAATGTTCTGAAGATGGTATCCAGTGATCGATAGGAAGCGAAATCATTAGTACGCCAAATGAATAACCAGTGACAGACAGATAACCGGATCAAGCCCAATGGCCAATCGCATGCAACGTCCTAACAATCCGATTAATAATCCGATTTCCCATGTCGCCGGGCTCAGTATCACGAACTGATGCGGCAGAGTGCGTGTCCTGCTCTGCCAGCCATAGGAGCGGCGGGCTTTCATACCTGTGTCTCCTCATCTTAGTAGCATACAACAAGAGAACGGGATGTATTAGTAGCCTCCCAGCTTTGGCCAAACTTTACATTAGGCTTGTGACGTTGCACGGTAAAACTGGGCCAAAAATCATTGTTTCATCCCCACACTCTATGGCAGGCAGTCGCCCAGCCCCTGCCACCCCGCTCCTGACGAGCATCCCCTCACGTTCTACGGTGTCACAGCCGTCCCCCCCCCCCCCCTCTACCCCTCCGCCTCACCAGTGTGCGGTTCTGGTCACGGAGCCGGTGCGGCAGCTGGCCCAGCGGGCGGCCGTTGTGCATCCAGCTGACACCGGCCGGCCGAGCGGTGGCCAGCTGGCAGGTGAGAGTCTGGCCGTCCGACTCGACCACCGACAGGTCCGTGGAGTCCGGTACCACGATCTCGGGCGGCTCTGCGAGTGGGGAGCGTCAGGAACTGGCCGGGCAGCCGCGGGATGCGCCCGTCACAGACGGCCGGCCAACCAGGGAGAGCAGATATTCGATCACTGGTATGCTTTTTAAATATTCCATTCGAACTCTTTTAATGAATGGATTTTTGGGATCAAGGAGTGTTGGCTCGACATCGCAGATATTCAAGTGACTTTGCTCCTGGAACACCAGCCGCTGACCAGTGGCATTCGTCTGCGCGCTCCTGTAGCACCAAAGTACTGACCTACGACGGTGAGCAGAGTGTCCCGCGACGCCTTTCCGGCGGCGTTGAGCGCCTCGCAGGTGTAGGTGCCAGCCATCTCGGGGGAGGCCAGCTGGACCAGCACCTCCAAACCATCGGCGGACTCGTACAGATGCGGGATCGAAAGCTCAGAGATAGGTTCGCCGTCCTGGGGAGGGATCGAGAGCTCAGAGACGGGCTTTCCGTCCTGGGGAGGGACTGAGAGCTCAGAGACGGTCTCTCCGTCCTGGGGAGGGACTGAGAGCTCAGAGACGGTCTCCCCGTCCTGGGGAGGGACTGAGAGCTCAGAGACGGTCTTTCCGTCCTGGGGAGGGACTGAGAGCTCAGAGACGGTCTTTCCGTCCCGGGGAGGGACTGAGAGCTCAGAGACGGTCTCCCCGTCCTGGGGAGGGACTGAGAGCTCAGAGACGGTCTCTCCGTCCTGGGGAGGGACTGAGAGCTCAGAGACGGTCTCTCCGTCCTGGGGAGGGACTGAGAGCTCAGAGATCAGAGACGGTCTCTCCGTCCTGGGGAGAGACTGAGAGCTCAGAGACGGTCTCTCCGTCCTGGGGAGGGACTGAGAGCTCAGAGACGGTCTCTCCGTCCTGGGGAGGGACTGAGAGCTCAGAGACGGTCTCTCCGTCCTGGGGAGGGACTGAGAGCTCAGAGACGGTCTCTCCGTCCTGGGGAGGGACTGAGAGCTCAGAGACGGTCTCTCCGTCCTGGGGAGGGACTGAGAGCTCAAAGACGGTCTTTCCGTCCTGGGGAGGGACTGAGAGCTCAAAGACGGTCTTTCCGTCCTGGGGAGGGACTGAGAGCTCAGAGACGGTCTCTCCGTCCTGGGGAGGGATCGGGAGCTTGAGACGGGTTCGCTGTTCTGAGGACAGCCGGATCTTTCAACACCGGAGCTACGAGTTCAGATGGCATCAGTGCGCGCGCAGTGGAGGGCAGACGCCGGGGATGTTTGATGTCTGTGGTTGTCAGAACCTTGAAAGCTGTTTTAGGGACAAGGGGAGGGGGGGGGGAGGTAAACCAGCAACAACGGCGTAAATCACGAATGCTCGGAACGTACAGATGCAACTCAACTCGAAAACAAAAGTCCGAGCACACCAAAGAGTATGCACAAAAGCAAAGCAGCTGAACTAGACGACGAAACATGCCGTGAGAATAACAGAATGTCTTCCTGGTAACGACTGCTTCACGAGGTCTACTCAGCGTGCGTGCCATACGGCCGTCATACTCGGCCACTTGCCGAGTGCCGTACCTTGAACCAGGAGACGACCGGCGGAGGGGTGCCGATTGCCTCACACGTCAGTGTGGCGGAGTCGTGCAGAACCACGCGCCGCTCCGAGGGACTCTCCAGGATGGTCGGCGCCTCTGCGACGGAGCGAGGCATCAGCATTCACCCGTCTACACGGACCTCGTACCGGTCACGGTAGCGGCCTTGAGGCGGACCACAAGGCCCGCACACAGCGACGTCCCGCTGTTTGAAAGCAACGGCGATGGATTAAGATGGTTAGACCCGCATTAATTCTTGAGTTCTGAGTTGACCGAGTTAAAAATATGAAACCCAGCTCTGTCATTAACCATGTGAGTTCAGAACGAGTCCTCTCTTAAGTAAATACTCCGAGCGCTTGCGCCCCCTCCCCCCCCCCGCCCCAGAGCTCACCGAGCACCTGGACGCTGGCCTGGATGGCGGCGCGGCCATGCTCGTTGGAGGCCGTGCAGGTGTACAGGCCGTCGTCATCGGGCCGGACCGAACTCAGCGTCAAACTCGTGTCGCCGGGGCTGAAGCGGTCGGTCGGTGGCGCCGGATCACCCGCCGTCCTGCCGCCGGCCGCCACCTCCTCGGCCCCGAGCAAGGTGGACAGGTCGGGCACCTCGATGTCCCGCCGCCGCCGCCGCCGCCGCGTGGCTGCAGGCACGTCGAACGGCAGCTCGTCTGAGCCGCTGCCAGAAACGCCGTCGTCCAGCTCCGGTGGGGTGATGACCTTGACGACTTCGCCTGGGGAGGGGGGACGGGGGGGAGCAGCGTGTCAGAGGGTGAGAGCTCTCGATGTAGATGCTCACGGTTGACAGGAGTTTGGACACGTTCGGGAGGTGAGATACGATGAATCGGAAGACACGGCAGCGTTCAATAAGTTTGCAGTACAGGAAAGCACAAATGAACATGACAGTCGAGAGATAGGTCGGCGATATTTTGTGACGGCAATAAACTTACCCGAAGGACAAAATAGAGCTCGGTGAGATTTGGAGCCAATACTACGGCAAATCGGGGAGGCTCTTAAGCGTGCCGTATACTTTGTCCTATATGATCTTTCATCAATTCCAACTCCAGAGAGTACTAGTGCCGTAATATTTCACACTGCCTGTCGAGATAGTGGCAGTGCACTGTTACGAACTGCTGCGGATATGAACCCTAGCCTCGGAATCCGAAGTCTAATGCGATACCATCGGGTCATTAATATACCAGCGATTCGAGCCCATTTCGTCCAGCTGCACCCATGACGTGCCACGGCGGTTTCGAGCAACAGGAGACATCCACCACATACAACTCTTGGGCCGGCAGGACAGGGCGCCTTCCACGTAAACTTTGGCCTCAGTTAACACACGCACCAACACACCATCATTGGTCAAGATACCGCACGACGGCCATCATGATTCCAGGCGACTCTGGCGGGCCGCCACGTACCATCCTTGGTCCAGGTGACTGTGGCCAGCGGGTACGACTGCACGGGACAGGAGAGGGTGATCGAATCCCCCGGTATCACCGGCAGTCGGCGCACCTCCTCCCCAGCACCATCTATCACGGGAACACCTGCCGACAGCAGCGTCGCTAGTCAGGGGACTTATTGGCTGCCTAGGCCGGGGCTGACCGTAGCGCTATCCGGCTGCTAACCGCTGGCGTGTAATGCTTTATGACGTCGCTCAAAAGCAGATTAGCAACGGGCAAGTCAAAGATGACATCGATAGAGTACTGTCCTACGTTTGCGACGAGCCACGGATCGGCTTAAGGAACCTTCCAAAGAACCGGAGTATTGGTTGATAAATCGTTAACACGTGCGATGGACACGAACGATTCTGAAAAAGACCACATCAAGCTGTCGTCTGACAGAGGGACGCACCGTTCACAATGAGTTGGATGCGTCGCCTGGCCTCCCCCAGCCGGTTCTTGCCGATACACTCGAACTGGCCTGCGTCGGAGAGGCGGGCCGAGCTGACCAGCAGGCGGTCCGACAGCTCGCCGAGCAGAGGGTAGTACGCGAACTCCGGATCCGCCCAGGATACACTGCAACACAGGGTCAGAGAGCCTGACCTTAAGACGTCCCTTGCACTGCCACTGTCACACTGCGTGTGCACCGATCGTAACACCAGATGTCATGCCCATTGCGTGTTACACCACACTCTGCTGCTTTTTGACGGTACCTGTTTCGGTACATTCACATCTACCGAACGCTGTCATTAGCCCTGATCCCGGCTCTGCCCCGCCCCTCCGAGCCGTCTCCGTCCGGACCACAGGCCCTCCAGCCGCAGCCGGCAGCGTGTGACGTCACGAACCCGACCACCTGGCGGCCGTCCTTGTTCCAGACGTTTCGGGGCGGCGGCGCGCCCACCACCGAGCAGTTGAGAGTGACCGTGTCGCCGCGGAAGACGGTAACCCGCTGCGGGTCGGGCCCGGCCGGCCGCGGCGCCACCTTCACGCGCACCGGGAACTGACGACGCGCGGTGCCTGCGCTGTTCACCACCTCACAGCTGTAGTCGCCTGCGGACGGGGTGACACCGCTGCAGCGCGTCGGCGAGGCGGTAACAGTGGACAAAGCTCTCGCACGGTAACCCGGCACGTCAAATTGGAGTTGGACGGGTTCTAACATGTCAAGCTGGGTTCATCACGCCCAAGTTCGTGGCGGGTTTCGAGCTGGCGAGCTGCCAATGTACCAAGCCAGCTGGCCTGCCGGGGCTGGGCCGCCCACCTGCAACGCCGAGCTGTCCGCGCAGTGTGAGCTTCTCCCCATCTGCCGACACCATCACCTGCCTCACGCTGTCCTCCGGGATGGGCAGGCCGTCCTTAAACCAGCGGACCTGGAGGCAGGACATCGTTGGCAGCCGCACGTCGTGGCAAGGAAACACAGCTGCGCAGATACGCTTCTGCCCAAGTGTAACTTGAAATAAGGTTCCGTGAGCATTGGCAAGCTACCATATAAGTCTGGAGTTGGGCAGTTGGGAGGGAAAGAAGCTACAAACTGACGCAGATCTTTACATAATTACGGCCTCCTGTCTGTGGTGAGGCAGCAACGCTCCGCACCAATACAGCTATGACTTTCGGCGAAAGTAATTCGTTGCGTTTTCTGAGCCAAAGTCCAAATACTTGCGCACTGCTCACAGGCAGTTTGCAGACTCAGATTTCGCTCCAAGTGATCTCCAGGCGTTGAACAGTTACAGCAAGAGTAAATAAGGACATATCCGGAATAATGGCCGCTGGAACTTAGAAACCCGACCTGGGGAGGGGGAGCCGCCTATGATCCGTGTCGGGACTGACCTGCGGCACGGGGTAGCCGTCCACCTGACAGTCGAGCTGCAGCTGCTCATGCTCGGTCAGCACGCTTTCGCGTGGCTCGTGGAACGGATCGCCGAACCGCGGCGGCACCAGCACATTCAACTTGGTGCTGAACTTCACGCTGCCCGCCTCCGTCTCGGCCTCGCATGTGTACTGACCTGGGGAGGGGGGGGGGGGGCAGAGCGTGGCACACCTACGTGAGAGACTGCCCAGCCAGTAGCTGAGCGTCGGACGGCCGATCACGGCCTGTAGACTGCGAACAGCAGCTGAACGCGCCGCGGAGTAACGCGCTTGACTGGCATGCCTAAAAATACCGCGCGATGGTTCTCATCGGATTCATCTGGTTACGACGCAAACTACACAGCAGTCTGCAAAATACAGATAATCTCTCGGGAGCTGGCGGTGTTTGCTCAGACGCTTGCACCGGCTGTGAGCGAGGCGCCAGGAGCAGCCAGCGCGAGCGAAACAACTCACCCGAGTCCTCCGCGACCACCTCCGGTATGCGCAGACTGCGGCCGCCGTCGCCGAATACCACGTGCGTCTGATCAGATCGGGTGAAGGTGAACACCTCGGCGATGCTCTTTCCGTCCTGGGCGCAGAGGCGTGCGACGTCGGCCTCACGGTCCGGAGCCCCGGTTAGACGGCGAGTGCCTCGGGCAGGCACTGTCGCCTTCACCATCTCGCATAGTAAAACGAACACCGTGATGCGAAGTCAATCGGTGTGAACACCACTGCATCACCAGATTCTCTTTGATCTCAGCAAGTGAGATGTCAATCTAGCATTTCCAACAATTATTTGCAATATAGCTTTCCACGTTGCAGGGGGAGTTTCTGACAAGACAACAGCTGACTTGTCGAACCTTCACACTTGGTGCAGGCAACACACCCAGCAGCACCGGGGACGCAATGGACGGGAAGTGTCGCGCACATATGCTGAGAACATATTACATAAATACTGCGGAACATAGCACATGTTCCCATTCTATCTCAAACCCGGCAGGTGTGCCATTTATCAGTTATGAAAGCCAGGCACGTCAACAAAATTTTGACCAAGGGGATCTCCGTTCACGGTTTCGCTTATGCCCCCCCCCCCCCCCCCACCCGCTTCCCACGATACCCTCCAATTGGATTTAGCTCACTCTCCATCCCATGTTCATCCCATCCCATCCCATTGCATACCAGAGGCGCCATCTTACACCAGAAAGGGCCTTTTTGCCGATCCAGGGGCCCCAAATGCTCCTGAAAGCTCCGTAAAGGGACCACTCATCACTTCCGCATCTCAGTTTGTCAAAATGCATGCATGAACAAAATCGGACGCCATTCAGGAGTCTGAACGGGGACCATGGACCCCAACTCCTCAAAGGGTGATCGCCTCTTTCCCCCCTGGCGTGACATGGGTGAGAGCTACGACACCTCCAAGTAAATGACATGGCGAAATGAAGATTGCAAGTTTGAGCTACAAGGGTTGGTACCGCTATAAATAATCAACCATGGCATCTTAGTTTTGACACAAGCAAACGCTTTACCAGTATGTATGCCCTGCAGCACTCAGGGCAAGGTAACAGGCACAGGCGATGGCTAATATCGAAGGTCTGCGGCTTTGACAGCTCGCCGCGGAACATCCAACCAATCACGACATGTCCTGCAATGCAGCCCACCAGGACCTGCTCAGTGGCGCAGCTTACAGCGGCATACCCGTTGGCATGGACGGCGTGCCGCAAAATGAGGCGGCCGAGCCAGCTAAAAATGACCAAGATTTCCAGAATATTCCAGCGAAGTCCAGTTTCTTCACGATTTAACCCGCTTTCCGTCTAAAGTTGGAAGGGCTGATGGCAAAGTAGGTGCTTGGGTTGGGTTGGAGGCCTTATTGAATCTGAAATATGAATCTCTGCCCAATGGCGCATCCTTTCTGTCGAGTCGTGTCCGGTTGTGCAGCTCCAGGTTATCGCGTCGTGCCAGGCGTTGGGTGTGGCATGTCATGGTATGCTCAGCGGCACAGCCTACCTACCACGGCATGCCAAACCGTACAACCCATCGCGACGTTCCCGGCAGCGCAGCCTATCATGTCATGTTTGGCGGCAAGTAACTCCCGCCAATTGTCAAGGCAAACTCAGGGGTAATGCGGGCCTGCCCCGTCATGTTCAGCGGTGCAGCCTGCCACTGCGTGCCCGGCGGCACAGCCTACCTATCACATCATGGTGAGCAGCAGGACGCAATATCAACTCAATGGCGATCGCTGAGTTGATCTTCTTTAGAAATAGCAAACATTTGCAGACATCGAACAAATAAGACACTTTAGTCTAACAGTGAAGAAAATAAGTCATCCACCAGTCCAAAAGGCCGGTATCACCGAACGGTGAGTGACGGTCGGGCCCGGCTGGCTGGCGGTCCGAAAAAACTGGGTGGCATTGTGCATGGCAGAGAAGAACTGTTTTATGGTGTAGGTGTTCCGCAATTAAAGAGAGTGTTCCATATCTGTATTCGGATTTGAACTGACCTAGTCATCTTGAGGGTACTGCGATGCAGTTCACAGGACTGCCTTACTTGATACCAAAGCCTTTCTAATTTCTGAGCTACACGCTCTCGAAGATGTCTAGTTTTTTTCGGGAAGACTATGTTAAGGTCACCAAAGCATCCATGATGCCATAATGACGTCACTCAAATCCTGCCATTCCATAGACCATGCGGCGATCAAGGCGGAGAAAAATGTAATTGTCGAGTAGTTCATATCTGGCATTCGTGTAAAACGCTTTACAGATATAACGGCCGTTAGTTGGCTCTCAAACATTGTTGTGCAAGATATAATGACGTAATCGGGAATGACGTATGGATGAGCCTATTTACTAAACATAAAAACTGTGTTGTCTACAGCAGCCTTTTCCGCTCGAAAGTATAACAATAATTATGTGAGCCTATTTCATCATATATGATGCTTGCTTCAATGTGCTCAAATGTGGAGCACTCCCTTTAACTGCACTTGTGTTCTTTAGTCGAAACATTCGGCAGACTCATGTCATATTTACGAAAAGGTAGGAATCCGAAGACAGATAGCATCCGGCTGTAAATTGCGTTTAAGCTCTGGCCGTAACGATACATAGGAAGGTTTTTAATACTGTCTGAAGAAAGGGGAAATTACCAGGGCTTTTATCACATTTTGTGCTTTGTGTTGCTGCATATCGTTTGGCTGAAGTTCACACATAGTGCACTGTAAAGAGTTGTGTTTTGTAACCATTAATAAATTGTAAAATGTGTTATATCTTGCACTATACAGACGCTGAACAAGTGCCCACGATATCTCCGTGAGGAAAACATTCATCACATAACATAAGACTTGACTGACGAGCTCCAACTAGTTGTGACATTCCCACGCTCTGACACGCCCTGAACACGTTGACAAACCTTGTACCACTTGATGCCTGTGACGTCTCCGGTGACTGGGCACTTCATGCCGAACTCCTTGCCGTCAATGACATCCACCTGGTCCTGCCAGCCTTCGTCGCTGACGACGAGGGCTGCCAGCAAACATCGCACGGTCGGTTTCGATTACATGAGGAGTTGCTGGATACGTGAATGTCCCTCCGCGTCGTCAGGACAGGTGAGATATCAAACAAGATGTTCCAGGATCACATCTGCCGGTCAGCTCGTAACTGCTATTAAGCTCCCTCCCCCCCCCCCCCCTCTCGTAAGGGAGCTTGGGCCACGATGTTTGTTTTGTCTCTTTTGATGTGAGACATCATTCATTCAGAATCAGTAGATATGATTATTTTTCATGCTATCGCCCTCGTGTGGTGTGTTAGCATGCATACGGCAGGGATGTAGTTCTCCAATTAGCTTAGGGGGGTCAGCCCTCCTAACTTCACCTTCCCCCGCCTCCTCAGCGTTGGCAAGACAGTGGACCAAATCCGGGAGGAAATCCCCTTTTGGCGTATTCCACGTAGGATGCGTCATTTTTTAACGATCAGCCCCCAATTCATTTTGAGGAGCCACGCCCATGATACACAGTGCACATTGAACACACCAGGAAAGAACTATGGTCTGAACAACTACGTCATGCATAATATCGATATTTAAATTCAATTACTGCGTAAATCTATATGTCCAAAAGTTTTATGCAGCCACTACAAAACTGTAGATACCTCCCTGCTTCAGGTAATCTGCTCTGGCGGCCTGATGGTTTTCTGAACCTCCCACTCTGCCTGGTATGAATGTCCATCCTACGAATACAGACGGCGAAGAGTCGCACATGACGCTTGAACCGCACTTTGTCGCACTGTGCCGCGCATTTAGGCGAGAAGCGTTTGCATGGGACACCATGGGTTATTGGCGTAAGACTGGGAGTGGCGCCTTTGCCATATGTGGCCATAAGACAGATCACGTAACTTACACACGACCTTGACCTGGAATGAGTGACGGGTCTCTCCGGCCACACTTGAGGCTACCAGGGAGTACTTTCCAGAATCCTCGGGTGTGGCGCTCGGAATGAATAGCTGTCCGGGCTGCTCCGGAACCGCCCCTGCCGACAGCGAGCGACCATGTCACCTGTCGTGTTAACTGGCCACCAGCCAGGCCGGTCCAGACGCCACGAGCGTGCTGATGATGGACCAGAGGCAGAGGGCAGCACAGTGTCTTTAAGCTGAAACAAAAGGCCCACGAATGGCCGCGGTTTTTTACTCTAGTAAACTGTCCCAGCAGCGGCTGGCCCACTGCTACCCCGACGCCCCGGTACGATACGTGATAATTCAAGACCGTGAGCGTACTGCGCCGCCGACCACAGCCGGACTGGCGGCCTGCCCGGGACGCACCTGAGCTGGGCGGCAGCGGCTGCCCGTCCTTGAGCCAGCGCGTCTCCGGAGGCGGGGTGCCGGCGACGGTCGTACCCAGGCGGAGCGGCTGGCCGTCTCGCACCGCCACCTTCCGCGGCAAGTCAGAGCTGATCCTCGGAGGAACTGCAAGTGCGTTGGTGCTGTCAGCTGACGATGCGGTCAGGGCGCGACGTGGCTAGACTCAGTAATGGGCAGGGTAGCTGGTGTAGACATACAGCGTTTGCCCTGTATCTATGCAAGACTTAATGAATTTGTTTACACTTATGACATGCCTGTGGCGATTAGTGCATCAAAGTTCCCATGAATTACCGCGTCCCATCGTACTCAATAAAAATGTGATGTTAGTGGCTCGAACTTAATTCCCAATAACAGCACACCATCTGATTGGTGTTCAGTTCAGTGATGATCAGCTAAATTAAGCATTTCAGACTGATAATTCACCAGGGCTGTTATTTTCCCAGATGAAGCTCAGTCAGACACTAGAATATAGTAGTTTTATGTGCCGTGGCAGATAGGTAAGCGATACTGGTCCCACCATGCACTTACGAAAAAACACATTGCGCAATTAAAAATGACAAAATGGACAGACCCAGCCCAATCACGGAGACTTACAGAACTGCATCCGATAAAAATTATCAACAGCATTCGCCGCAACACACATTGTGTTCGGCGTCGGGCATAAAGCCGGCCTTCAACGCGTGCTGCGGATGCTGCAGGGCGTCTCACCGAGCACGGTGACGTTGGTCAGCTTGGTGAGACTACCGATGGAGTTGTTGGCCACGCAGCTGTAGAGGCCGGCGTCGGTCGGCTGTACGTCCAGCACGGTCAGCGAATGACCACTGGTTCGACTGGAACAAGGTGACAGCTCGCTGTCAGGTGAGGCATCAGGAATAAACGCAGTTGGTCACTGCGGCGACGGAACGGCCTCTGGGGCTGGAACTGTGTCTTGTTCGACTCTGTCACAAATCATCAGCTGCACGGAGTTCATAATAATATGACGTTTGCACCACCGGCGTCCTGTATTGGCTCTCTGTGACGTCCGGTGAAGTCATCTAGCCGGTCCCACTCAGCCCACCACTGCCTCACCTGTACTTCTCCGTGTCATCGTCAATCTGGCGGCCGTGTCGGAACCACGTGACGCGCGGCTTCGGTCGGCCCCGCACCACGCAGGTCAGGGTCATGTCATCTCCGACCACAGCGCTCGCGTTGAACATTTGTGCCGAAGACTTCGGGCGATCTGTCCAGGCGACGTTCCGAAGAAGTGAGAGACTTCGATAGCAGAGACCGAACAGGAAATACTGGGACATAGCGCTGGATGCACATGCGGAAACGTCAGGAGTCTGTCCGTGATCCAGTGTCGAAGTTCGTGAAATTTTGTCCCATTCTAAGCGCTTGGCATTGCGGTACTGTTCAGTCGTACATATACGGTTGAATTCAATGTGCACGACACGGAAATCACGGGACTGCTGTTGACTCGACAATAGATGCTTGTTGCCAGATCCCGCAGCGGATGGATCCCGTTACCAGAATGGCGCGTGGGAGCGGGGGGAGGGGGGAGGGCACCGTTTCAGGTCGTCTTAGCATATCATGGTGAGGTTGGTTATGAGCCTGTCGTAACTCACGTCTGACTTTGAGACTGAGGGGCGCTGTCGTCTTGCCGTACGTATTGCTGGCTTTACATTCGTAGGTTCCCTCATCGGCCTCAGAGGCCGTAAACCTGACGGCAGCGGACGGTTAGACAATACATGCTGCTGACGGCAGCGGACGGTTAGACAATACATGCTGCATCGCTGCTGGGGATTCTCCGACAAGCAGGTGGAGAGGTGTTTTAGATGGTATCATATAAGAACGTTCTTTACGCTCAATGCGTTCGTCTGTCTACAAACTGCACGCACCAGCAAAAACTTAAGCGAACTACTGCAAAAATGTTGCAGCAAGGGCTGCATGAAAGGTCCCTATCGACTAACGATCGCTAATTTGGTACGGGAAGGGTACGATAAGCACCCATCGAGGGTATAGAGGGTATGCAAGGGTATATAAGGGTACATAATGGGATAAGAGGGCATAATTATTTTTAGGGAATCGACATCATTAGGTCCCACTTTTCGGCAGGCAAGCTGAGAATCTTCGGATCTGCAGCTCTACATACGCCATGACCACCTTGTCAACCCGTCACTGACCTGATGCCGCCATCATCCAACTGGGTGGCGCTGACTTGTGCGCCGGACCTCTCCCAGGTCACACGGGCTATGTCATCGGGTCGCAGGTCACAGAGAATGGTGACTTGGTCCCCCTCATTGACCGTTAGGGCGGGGTTGGCTTCATCTGCGACAAGTATACACAGTGTGATCAGGTGAGTTAGCAGATCCTCTTCCTCTGGTCTCTCTTACTTGCTCTTTACTCAACTATCCTTTGAATATCACTAACAATGTTGTTTACGCTCGCAGAAATTTCCGAAACCCGTTAAAAATGTCAACAACTGCCATGAGCTGATACAATTAGTCCAGATCATTAACCATCCTGAGCTACCGAGAACAGCCCAGGGCTGGGGAAAACGGCACCTTGGACGTATCTTTTCCATCCACCGCTACAACCCCGGATTGTACTTTCAAAGTGTCGCCCAAAAGTCAAGAACGGACTCTATGACCACCCCTCGGTTACATCGGACCACATCCTCCTGGCCGCCCGACCAGCCGGACCCCACCCACCTGTAGCGACGCTGCCCCCATTCCGGTCCAGCTCGCGCCGCTCAAGCCGCGGCGGCGGCCGCTCCAGCTCGTACTCCACCGCAGGCCCCACGTCCGCCTCAATGCTGACGATGCGCGGCGGCGCGTGCACCACGAGCGCGCGGCGAGCGCTGGCCGTGCCGCGCGTGTTGTTCACGTGGCACGTGTATACGCCCGTGTCGTCCTCGGTCACGGAGCTGATCTGCAGCGTGTTGTTGGCGTGCACCCACAGTCTGGGCGCCGGGACGGGAGTCAGGGGGGAGGGGGGGGGGGGGGGGCGGAGACGAAAGCGGCGTGCGATCTATGGATGGCATGCTCACTGGATGTTCGCAGTCTCGGATATACGCGTGTGCGTTTAAAGATACACATAGAAGAGCACTAGATTAAATGCCCTGAAGTACTTATCTGTTGATTTTATTGGCGTCTCAACCATGCGTCCAGATGAAGATCAAGGGATTGACCTACCCAAGCACGCATTGGTCGCAGCGAGTACACGCCTCACTGCTCTGTCTGATTCTGTATCGACGCAGCCCCACACTCTACCGCTGACCTGCTGTCCAGAGGCACAATCAACTGGCCGTGCTTAACCCAGAGGACGCGGGGCACGGGCTCGGCGCTGACGTCACACGCCAGGAAGACGGTGGCGTTCTCGGTCACTTCCAGTGCCGGCTCGTCCGGAGATGCGATGTCCGGAGAAACTGCGGTGCACGGGGGGGGGGGGGCGTCTGAACAGACGCGTCTCAACGCATTGCGGCCACATCGCGCCTACAGGCGCACGAGTGCAGAGCAAAAATCTGAAGCCGGCATTTCACAGGCAGAGAGAGACGCGCTCCAAATAACGGCACGGATCGCGGAGTCATCCGCCAGCGCCACTCACACTGCACATCAACCTGCGTCGTGAGGCTTTTGCTGCCGGCCGCGTTGCGGGCGGTGCAGCGGTAGAGGCCGCCGTCGCGGCGCCGGACGGCCGCCAGCAGCAGGGTGCCGTTGGCCAGCAGCCGGCGGCCCCGGCCGCTCACCACCGGAAGGCCGTCGTGCTCCCACGCGAACGTCGGCGCCGGGTTGGCCGAGATCACGGGACAGGGCAGCGCGAGCGGGGCCCCGCGCGCCGCCCGCACCAGCGGCGAGACGTCCATCAAGCAGCGGTGGCTCTGGGGATGGCCGTCCGGGTCTCAGGTCAACAGGACCGGCGGAGGTGCTGTTTGAAGGGCGTGTACTTATGCCACTGCTGGAGCGACGTCGCGGGCTGATAACCCCGCTTCTCCACACAGACACAGATAAGCTGCTCTAGAGACATCTTGCCGCCGCCTTACCGATTCCCAGCACGATGACGTTGACACTGAGGGTCGCGGTGCCGTACTTGTTGATAGCCGTGCAGACGTACCGGCCAGAGTCCTCCAGACCGGCGTCTGTGCAGATACATGGGCATTTAGCACTAGCATCTAGCTAAGCCGGGCAAACAGCGGAGAAGCTCTTCTCATAATAGATCGAGAAAATACGTCAAAGCGATGAGATGACGAAAAGGCGCATTTGTGCACATATGCAGCGTGAAGATCTGCTGTTGGTGTACTGCCCCGGAAGAACCTCAGACGGAAGCCAATACAGCGACTCGCACAGCCGCGTCTGGGCGTGGACCAGGGAGACAACAACTCGGCCAGGCAGGGAAAGACTGGGTCCACCTTAGGTCACAACTTGCACTCCAGTGACCGCTGGACAGACACAGCCTCCCTCCCTGGACAGCGTGGCGTCCACGCAGGCCGTACTCACGCTCTACTGGTCAGCGCGCCCGCGCTGTCCACCTTAGGTCAGCTGCTTGCCGTCGTGACTCCAGCGGAACTCGGGGTCCGGGCTGCCGACGGCCACGCAGGGCAGGGACGTGGAGCCGCCGTACGGCAGTGACACGTCTGGGGGACACAAAGCGTCAGCGGGGTCGGTGGTGAAGAATGCGTCGTAACCAACGATGGCGAGCTGCATTGTGTTCGAAGAAAACGGCCATAACGCGGTTCAAGACAGTTGGCAGCCCCGAGGTCTGCAGGACTGGGCCATATCATCGTCAGCGACGGTGAGTTGTGCCGCATTCGACGATGGCACTCTTGCCCACGGCTGAACACCAACAGTGTGCGATGGTGACAAGAATGCGGCATACCGCAGTCCGCGCTAGTGTCCAGCGTGAGCCGTACGACACTGAGTTGTGCCGCAAGCTGCGGTGGTCAACACTGGGTGATGCTGCAGGTCGCGGAGGTGACGAGAGTGAGTCATGCCGTAGTCTGCGCCGGTGACGAGAGTGAGTCAAGCCGTAGTCTGCGCTGGTTGCGAGAGTGAGTCGTGTCGTAGTCTGCCGTAGTCTGCACTGGTGACGAGGGTGAGTCATGCCAAAGTCTGTGCTGGTGCCGATAGTGAGTCTGTCGTAGTCTGCGCTGGTGACGAGAGTGAGTCATGCCGTAGTCTGCTCTGGTGCCGATAGTGAGTCTGTCGTAGTCTGCGCTGGTGCCGATAGTGAGCCTGCCGTAGTCTGCGCTGATGCCGATAGTGAGCCTGCCGTAGTCTGCTCTGGTGCCGATAGTGAGTCTGTCGTAGTCTGCGCTGGCGACGAGAGTGAGTCATGTCGTAGTCTGCGCTGGTGACGAGAGTGAGTCATGCCGCAGTCTGCGCTGGTGCCGATAGTGAGCCTGCCGTAGTCTGCGCTGATGCCGATAGTGAGTCTGCCGTAGTCTGCGCTGGTGACGGGAGTGCGTCATGTCGTAGTATGTGCTGGTGACGGGAGTGAGTCAGGCCGTAGACGGCGCTAATGACGAGAGCGAGCCGTATGGAAACGAGCTGTGCCGTAGTGTTCGATGGTGACCAGACCAAGCATACCGCAGACCGGAGGGATGACGGGAACGAGCCTTACCGTAGTCCTCGATGGTGGCGCGCGGTGGGGAGCCGATCCGCAGTGTGACAACGCCCTCGTCCCGACCATACTCGTTCTCGGCGGCGCACGTGTACTGGCCGGCATCAGAACTCTTCAGCGAGAAGATGTGCAGCCGGCCAGAAGACACCTGGCTCGCGAGGCGACAGGTCAGACAGGTCAGACAGGTCAGACACAGCGAACAGGTGATATAGACGGGAGAAATAAGCAGGCCAGCTGAAGCGGGATAGCGTGCGGTACCGCTACAAGCCACAGAAAGTCACGGACGTTGCACAAGGTGGAAAACATGCACCTATACACCTGGAGGCTATAACATGCAAGGTCGCTTATTCATGAAAAGCTACGGAGTGAGGTTTACTGCCTGTTTATAAAATTGGTAACTTAAAAGTATCCTGTCACTTCAAATCGCTTTTCTGTTCTAATTTTTTTCAGCCACAACAATACAAAATTGACAAATCGGCCCAATCGGCGTTATGGGCTCCGGTATAAACATGTCGGTCGGTTTTCATCCGCTCTATAAAATCGCTACGCTATCGAGCACATAAATCAATTCATCCACATGGTTGCGGTGCCTACAGAAAGATGCATTCTATATATATATATATATATATATATATATATATATATATGTGTGTGTGTGTGTATGTGTGTGTGTGTGTTTTGAGTGTGTGTGGGGGGGGGGCTGGGGGTCGTCCCTGTAATATTTCTTTGGCGCTCCTTGGTCGTCGCCATCACACCTGCGATACCTCAGGTCATGTGAGCACATGCCATGCCAGGACATTCCTGCAACACACAGCAGTCTACCTTCTCAACAAGTAAGCAAATAGTCCCACTGTGAAACAATAATCACCGCATTGTTAACGATGAAGCTGTCTCTGGTGTGTCTCAGTCAGTCCCGGAAGGGATGTGCTTAAGGACTCCTAGCACTCGCAACCTTTCCAGGCCTTTGCACATTGGCCCTGTAGTCTGTAGTAGAATATATATATATATATATATATATATATATATATATATATATATATATATATATATATATATATATATATCTCTCTCTCTCTCTCTCTCTCGTGTGTGTGTGTGTGTGTGTGTGTGTGTGTGTGTGTGTGTGTGTATGTGTGTGTGTGTGTGTGTGTGTGTGTGTGTGTGTGTGTGTGTGTGTGTGTGTGTGTGTGTGTGTGTGTGTGTGTGTGTGTGTGTGTGTGTGTGTGTGTGTGTGTGTGTGTGTGTGTGTGTGTGTGTGTGTGTGTGTGTGTGTGTGTGTGTGTGTGTGTGTGTGTGTGTGTGTGTGTGTGTGTGTGTGTGTGTGTGTGTGTGTGTGTGTGTGTGTGTGTGTGTGTGTGTGTGTGTGTGCCTGCCTGTATGACCTGGCAGTGAAGGTGGCTGCTAACGACCCGTCAATCTCAGAGTGGCCGGGACAGGACAATGATAAAGTGCGTTGATATCCCCTTTTTTCATGACTGAGCCGGAGAACTCTTCGACGAGACAGCTGCTAGACTTCGGGTCAGTATCGCCGTGAAGCGGTGCTCACCTTGACCTGACCGGAAGTCTGAAGCGGGGCGGAGGAGCGCAGCCAGCTGACAGTCGGGGTGGGCTTTCCCGTGACGTTGCACCTCAGCGTCACCTGAAGACAAACACATCAATGCTACGCCGGACAGACGCCAACAACAGCATCGTCACCATCATCAGATGATCCGCGGTCGCGCTCCGTCAACTGAAAAACATCATCAACATTCCAGCCTATCACCACCAAACAACGGCCGACGTACAGGAAGGCGTACAAGCCCACCGAGGGGGCCGACCATTGGGGCGCCGTGGTCAGTGACCGCTTGGACCAGACGCATCGAGCCTCCGATCGAGGCGAGAGTCAGTGACCGTTTGGAACAGGCGCACCGAGCCTCCGATCGAGGCGAGAGTCAGTGACCGTTTCGACCAGACGCACCGAGCCTCCGATCGAGGCGAGAGTCAGTGACCATTTCGATCAGACGCACCGAGTCTCCGATTGAGGCGAGGGCGCTCTCGTTGGGGACGCGCACCAGCGGCGGCTCAGCGTATCGGATATACAGGCTCTTTGTCGCTGCGAAAGACAGGAAAGCTTCAGTGCATTGGCTGGGTGGTAAGCAAAAGAGGCCAGACGCTCCTATTACACACAGTGTAGACAGAGAAGTCAAGCATCACACACGCACGAAAATGTTACTAAGTTGCTTTGGATATACTCCAAATGTAACACCCTTATGACGTATATTAGCTATGATCCCTCCAGATGACCTATGAACCCTCTGGGCCCGCCCAATATGGCCCAGACTCTGACGCTGGGGCCGGCCAGGCAGCAAAACCGACCGCACTTTCTCTCCCTGCCCACAGCGGCTCATCCTGCTCCGACCACCGTGGTCCCGGTCTCCATGCTGGATATACAACCCGAGCGCAATGAGCTTGGTGATGTCCTGTCATGTCATGTGACGTCTTTCTGAAGAGATGAGTGACGAAACACCACACAAGGTTGAATCCCCCAAGAAAAGTCAACGAAGACAAAATACTGAAAATAGAACAGAATGCAGCAGGAGAACCGCTGACAAGCGACGGAACAAGGGGAAGGCAGCAACTGGAGCCAACGCCTTCTGAGTCCTCACGGCGTCGGTCGAATCACCGGGTTGCGAGCCACTAAAGCCGCTGGGAGGCGCCACTGACCGCTGCCGTACGGGTTGGTGCCGGTGCAGCTGTAGACGTCCTCGTCACTGGCCTGCGCGTTCGAGATGCGCAGAATGCTGTGCTCCAACTGCACTCGGCCGTCCTCGGACGGAGTCTGCGGCAGGTCAGTGAACTCAAGACTGCGCCAGTGTGGGCTGGGGACACGGGCGTGGGGCGGACGCGCGCATAGGTGCTGAGGACAGCAGACAGACAGACAGAGGATGGGGAGCGCTTAACGACGGGATTGGACGGGTGGGGAAAATAATGTAACGGGGAATTATGAATGGGGAAGCTGCGACGATGTGCGGAAATGGGCTGCCGGGGAGGCGAAGTGGGCGGAGAAAAAGAGCATTGCTTATGAGTGACATCCGAGACACGATCCAGATAAGCCCGCACACACATCTCACGCTTACCAATTCCCTTGATTCTCGTCGAACGGAGCAGAAACAGACGTTATGTTTTTGTTTCCGGCTGTAGTTTACGCTTTATCCAGCGCACTCAACAGCCAGATGTTTTAATTAGCAAAACACTTATTTCAAGAAGCACCGTTTTGCCGAGTACCCCGTTTCATCACATCGGAGCCGTCTGGCCCGTCGTCCGACCCCAAACATCCTCCCCTATCGTTCTGACTGTCAACCAGCCACGAAGGGAAAGTTGAAAACACGCTCGGCTCTTAAACAGCCACCTATTCAAGAGGAGACCAGCGCGATAAAAGCCCGTACTATAATGGTGCCGTGTCCTCTGGTCCAGACGACCTCCGGGTATGGCTTGCCGTAGGCTTGGCAGATGATGACCACCTGCTGTTGGGGCAGGAACACCGCGCCTGGCGTGTTGATGGACACCTTGGGCTTGCTGTGCACTTCCAGAGTGGTCTCAGAGGTCACGTTACCACCTGGGGTCAGGAAGCACGGGTCATCAGTGTCAAACGCGTTCCGGGTCAAAAGGGTCAGCCACATTCAGACAAAAGGATTTGCGATAGCTGAGGCTACTCCAGGTCGTGCCACATCATACGAGAGCTTATTGCTAGATGGTTTCCCCAAAAGGCTTTGTTAAGTTAAGTCGATCGCGGTGCCTTCTGTGACGCGAGAACAGCATGGATGTAAATTCCAGACAGTTTTCGGTTAAATGAAGCGCCGATCGTCTACATGGAAGTGAAGCGATACTCTGACCTGTTGAGTGTAACCAGATGCAAACATGACATCGACATACATCACATAAACAGCCTGTGGACCAATGGACCGCCGCAGGCTCTCAACAATATGTCAGCTGTAAGTCTCATCATGGCTGTATATTTGTTATAGTACTGTCTTATGTATTTTAGCTATCGACATGCAACGAGCGTTGAGTCAACGACGACATCCACCACACCTGGAACGGCAGACTAACAAGCCTTTGTGATTAAAATAAATTTAGAGGGGAACAAATGTGCCCCAAAACGTTTGAACTCTCAATGTTACAGCTTGACCTTGAGTTCTTATCAAAGTCTGGCGCTCCAATTTCGAGGTACCCCTGAGTGTTTTGTTCATAGCCGCGGCGCATTAATGCGAACGATGGTCTGCTGTTGATTATCTTGAGCCGAACCGCAAAACTCTTAAAGTCATGGCTTAACCATGAGGAAAGGTTGAAATTCAGGGCGCCAATCTATGAACCCTTCTTACGTTTCTCAAATCCCGACACTGGGTCAATATAAAGGTAATAGGCTTTTGAATTCGTGCGGCGCGATGATGCGCAAAACATGTTCCTTGCCTACACCCTGGTGATTCTGACGTTTTCTCTAGTTCACCACGTCATCTCTGGATGACGGAAATACAACATAAGATGATCTGCGGCAGCTCTTCTTATTTAGCCATCGCATCGATACGAGGGCTTTTACGGCTTCGAGGTAAAACGGTTATTTCCACAGGCCTTAAATATTGATGGTGCATTCTCTCCGCCCTTACCACCCTTTCAAGCATGAGCAATCTTCCAAAGCTGGTCGCCACAACGATCGGTGCACACTTCATGGACAGACGTGCAAACGTGAGTCCAGTGAAAGAGCGTGACTCATACAGACACCAAGTCAGACGACGAAAACAACTGCCGGCCCTGGTTCCCTGGTTTTCCGACGGAGGTCACGTACCCACGACCACAAGTTGGCAAGCGGCACAAATGGCGCGCGGCGGCCGTGTTCGGACGCGTGCGGCGGCGCCTTTACCTTCGTTGGCGGCCGTGCAGGCGTAGCGGCCGGCGCTGGTCAGCGCGGCGGCTGGGATGTGCAGGTAGTCGGTGGTGTCGGGCCGGCGCAGCGCCCGGCCACTGTGGAACCACTCTGGCGGTGGAGCGGTGGGGCGGGTGGGGGTACGGGTCACGGGCGCGGCGGACGAGACGACGGCCACGCGGCAGGGAGCAGGCGAACGGGCATCAATATCGGCAGGGGCGCGCAAGGTGCGGCATCTCGTTCGGGAACAGAAACAGGTATGCCGTCTCTGCCGAAACGGGTTTCCGCTATATCATACAGATGCGACATCTCATCGAGACAGGAAATTATGTAGGTACCTTCCTAACCTGAGGTCACATGGGATTGTGTCAGATAGGTGCATATGGAATGGCTCGAATCGCTTGGTGGCGCCGCTGCCAGGTCTTCACTAGCCGGGCCCAGCCTGGCTGTCAGTTGATATGAGACGGTGTGACAAAGGACGGTCTGTTGCCAACGTGTCAGCATGAGTACGTCACCACCTCACGCCTGCCGGGAGGCGCCGAATGCTTCTGAGGCGCGCCGCTCATGTTTTGTATCGTCTGTTTACTCAATATTATACACATCTGGATGAGTAGGGTGCCAACTCCGCGAACCCGGCATGAACGTTCGACCATGCGCTGACACTTGCATCATTTCGAGCACTGGGACACAACTCGAACTTTGCCCTCTCCTAATCGTTCACGCGCCAGCTTTCATCCCTTCTCTTGCATCGTGCGCTGCTGCCAACTCTCTACCCCCCCCCCCCTCCCCCCCTCCCCCCCGGTATCGCAACTCGACAAAGATCAAACACCGTTGTACCGTTCCTCGCGAAGTTTCGCCCTGTATTCCCCGCAGCATTCCACGACAACCAGCGCGCTCCGTCCGCTGCATCGTATCCCCAGCAGCTATCCCGTTCGCTGTGGTGCGCCGCCCGCGTGCTCGGCGCTCTCCGCTCCTGACACGCCCCAACACGTACCGGCACGTCCGCCAGGTGACGTTGTAAGGTGTTGATGACGTGACGTCACATGCGAGGTAGACAGGCCGACCTTCCAGCACGGTGACGTTCCGCGGCGTCGTCACATTCGGTGGCGGCGCTGTAGCATTGGAACGGAAATCGGCCGTTGTTGATAACGGCAGTTGATAAATCATTGGCTGTCCCAAATGGCGCGCATTTGCAGCCTCACACTCAACAAAAAAATTTCGGACCGATGGCCCTTCAATTCTAAAGAATTCACGATTAGTTGTACCTTATAAATTCATAGCCGTCAAATATCTCATAACTTCCAAGGACCGGCGATTAAGGATCGGCATTCCATCCGTGGCCAGTCTGCATCAATAAGCACAAGCCCCGCAGAAGTCGAAGCGCAGGCGGCCTATGGTGGCACCCACCTAGCACCAACAGCTTCACTGTCTGGAACACCTTGCCGAAGGCGTTGCGAGCCATGCAGATGTAGTCGCCGGCGTCAGTCGGCTTGACGTCTGCCATGTTCAGGTGCAGCAGACGGGACCGTGATGACTGACTGTGGACGTAGCGGCCGGCGCGCCGTGAGACGGACTGCGGTGTCATCTCGGAGCCAATCGCCGCGTCTCAAATTCTGTCAATCCAGTTCGTCGACGCTTGTGCCAGTTGGTAGCAGTCAAACGCTTAAGGCGGGATTTGCATGGCGACGTACTTCATGAAGGTATTGATCGTGACGTTTTTGTTCTGCTGACATAAGACAAATGTTTCCAGCGGCCCTCTCACGGACAACGCGCAGACAGCCGACTTAAATTTCCGCAGACCCCGCAACAGCTCCAGCCGCCCAGACCGCCTATCACATAGGCGATGGGCGGTCTAGTTGGTGAAGTTGGTGATACCTGTAGTTGGTGAAGGCGCTGAACGGCTGGTATTCGAAGAACCAGCCGGCCGTCATGGGCAGGTACGACCGCACCCGGCAGGGGATCGTCACGTTGGCTCCCAGGTGACCCTTGACCTCGGACGGCGCGACCAGCGTCGGCTTCCCTGCGTCAGGCCCCGCCGTAGCCAAAGGGTTACACGGACGCATGGGTAGAACAACGGCCGATGTTGTCCGGACTGGCTGGAGCAAGCATACCTGGCATTTACAACACGGCACGTTTCACAGAGTGCCACTCGTACGGTGGCTTACATCGGCTTCAGTCGTGACCATCGATCAAGAACAGCTTATGGCTTATGGCGTATAGCGCATCCAGGCTTATGGCGTATCTAACACGGAAGTACCGTCCAACAACAAACAGTTCGCCTGCATCCACCGTGGCATGCACGCGTTGTGTACGGTGTCGCCCACGGGGAACCTGATTAAGCAAATACGTGGCTACGCGGCTAATGGCGCGGAATGTTGATGGTCGTAGGCCAGATAGCGGCGGGTGTGATGGCGGCGGACCTATCTGGACGGCGGAGACGGCCGACGTCTCGCGCTGCAACGGCGATCCGTCCTCATGGGCGCCCTGAACCTGCAACACGCCGGCCATCGTCTCAACAGCGCTTCAGCCGGTGGTGCGCGGCCACGGGTCTACCGCGGCGTGAATGACCAGGGCAAGTTTGGAATAGTCCAATAATAATAATAAAAAATATAGATATAATATAAATAATAAATATAATATAATAAAAATATAACTACAATATAACTAATAAAAAATATAATAATAATAGAAATATAATAGTCCAACAATAATAATAAAAAATAGTGTTAAATTTCAGACTTGGATCTACAGGGCAGTGATTTGAGTACGACAAAGCTGTTGGCGTGTGAGCCTGTCTTGAAAGGTGCACTGGCTGGTCGTATATGGAAACATCCGCTATGAGATAAATCAAGAGGGATGGGGTCATCAAGTCACCAGGGTACTTTGTTGTCGGCACATACATGTACGGAAGACTCTATATCAAAACAAGCAACCACAGAAATATGCAGACCTCCCCGCTCTCGAGTGTGCGAGGACCTGGCACTTGATTCAATAAAAACTGAACCTCGTCCTTCAAGGTACTGAGGCCAATGCTACAGATCAAAATGGGATCACTGCTGAAATGACCCCCTCCATCCCTAACATCGCTCCCCACCATAAAGGAGCTAATGAAACAAACTGCAATGGAAAATCATATAAGCAGTTTTTATCATACTCAATAGTGTGTGCATCATGCAATGCACACACTATTGACTGTGATAAAAACGCACACCACAATCGATAATAGCGAAAAACTGCGAAGGCCTCGTAGAGCCAGTATGACTAGCGACGGTTTTTCATTTCATGACAGAGGTGTCTGGTTCAAACCTAGCCTTGACCACGCTTGACCGGCACTGCTCACCTTGACGCGGAACAGGTCGTCTGGAGGGACGAACGGTCCGCCGCGGAACACGCCGTCTGGCTCGCGCTCGCCGAGGTCGACCGTCCGCAGCACCTGCCCCTCCAGAGAGGTGAGCTCGGCCTGCCTCATCTCCAGCGCCTCGCTGGCGTTCACCGGCCGCACCAGCAGGTAGTTGGTCTCGTCTACCGGCGGAAGGCGGCGGGTCAGCGTGTCGGGGATGAGCGGGTCCTGGAGCGCACCAGTTGAGACTCGGACAGCTCTCATTGAGGCACATCAGACTGCACACATGAGTCGCCATGCACCTGATGACCGCGTGCACAAAGCCATGGTGCAGCTCAGCCCGCCTCTGTGATCTCGTCCCGGTAATTCCCGTTGTCCAGTGATACCGCTCGCTCCAGCTGGGTGAGATTCCGTTGTTTGGTCTCTCGCAGGTTCCCCGGTTGACAGCTACTACACTCACTACTACAGCTACTACACTCACTTCTACAGCTGCTACACTCACTACTACAGCTACTACACTCACTTCTACAGCTACTACACTCCCTTCCACAGCTACTACACTCACTACTACAACTACTACACTCACTTCTACAGCTACTACGCTCACTACTACAGCTACTGCACTCACTACTACAGCTACTACACTCACTACTACAGCTACTACACTCACTTCTACAGCTACTACACTCACTACTACAGCTACTACACACTTCTACAGCTACTACACTTACTACTACAGCTACTACACTCACTTCTACAGCTACTACACTCACTACTACAGCTACTATACTCACTACTACTGCTACTACACTCACTTCTACAGCTACTACACTCACTACTGCAGCTACTACACTCACTACTACAGCTACTACACTCATTACTACAGCTGCTACACTCACTACCACAGCTACTACACTCACACACTCACAACACACTCACAACAGCAACAACTACACTCACAACAGCTACTCACTCTGCACGGGCCGGTTCAGGGCGCCACTGAGACTGCCATCTTCATCTAGGGTGAAGCCGAACTCGAAGGTGACGCCGCTGATGGCTGTGGCCCGCATGGTGAAGGGCGAGTCGTCCTCCGTCTCTACCGTTACGGTGTAACGCCCTGGTGGAGCAAACAGGGTACTGGTTGCAGAAATTTGTCGGGCTGATGTGCTGTGAAATAACCTGCAAGACATGTAGGCTAAGGAAGTGAAGCACCTCCTGGAACTTTGTACAGAAGGAAGCGAATCAAGATGGAAAGCTCAAAAGGAACAATGTTTCACGTTCACTCAACAGGTTAGCCGATGGTGGCCCGACGTTCGAAGAAGCGGTGAGTGCAGGACAGCATGACGAGCGGACCCAAACAGCCCGCGGCGGTGACTGACCGACGCCACCCTGCGGCAGTCCTGCCCGAGCGCTCATGTCGCGGACCACCGCCCACACCGGCCGCCCACAGAGTACACAAACAGGCGGAAGGACCGGAGCAGCCGCGGCTCCGCTCACAGCCTCACCCGGCTTCGGGTCCTGGATGTTGACGACCTTGACCTTGGGCAGGTCCAAGATCAGGTCGCCGGTGACTTTCTCCTGGTTTTCACTCTCGCGAATGGTAACCTCGGGCCGGTTGCCTGTGAGCGAAGAGAAACGGCGGGCGGGCTCACCCATCTAGAGAAGTAAACATCAGCCCTCATAGGGCACGGTTTGTTTAGTTCAGCGACATTAAGTAAGTAGCTGGATGTCACATCACTGTACGGCTGAGGATCTATTCACCGGACGAGGGCGGTGAAATATGACTGGTAAACAGAAGCGGGCGGCTGCTGCACGGACCTGACACAGAGACGGTGAACTCGTCCAGACTCTTGTCCACGTGGAAGTTGACGACAGGCACCGAGGGCGGGTCAGCCTCCGCATCCTCTGACGGCGCGGGGTCATGGTCTACCGCTGCCAGACTGACCTGCAAACACCGATCGGTCACCAGCCAGGATCAACAGAGTGCGGTGCAAGGACGTGAGATGTGGCTATCAATAGGTGGCTGACAGTGTGCTTATGGCCGGGGAGTGTTAAGGCGTACATGCCTGGTGAAGGTGGTCTTAACACCTAAGGACTTAAAATACTGTGTTGGTGCACCGCCATGTCGCAGATAATCAAAATTGTGTGGCATGTTCCTGTAACAACACAGCATCGTTTTCGCTCATGCACAGAAAATGTTATTAATTGGAATGATATGAGGCACGCTGACATATGTGTACAACAGATACCGACATTATTCTTTAGATAGTGTATCGTTCAATTACTTTAGCCAGACACGTTCTTCTTCGTCTTCAACTTAAAACAGGCATAGCTTGAAAACCGATGACCACTGTATGGGCGCATGCATCAATGAGAACTGCTCGCCCAAGCAGCAAACAACGCGCCCCACGGTCCGTTCTCACGTTTGGACGCGGTCGGCGAGGGTCTTGCCTGCCGCGCAGATAGCCCGCCTTCTGCAGAAGCGTGGAGCCAAGCACTCAAGCACGGTGTAAGCAGCGGCTTATCACAATCACTTCAGGCACCAAGCAGCAGAGCACAGCCAAGCAGCAGAATTCACAGCAGCATACGGTGCGGGTGTGTAAATGTGGTGACCAGGTGCTAGGTGTCTAGGTGCTAAGTCATCTATAATACGATGCGGCGCGTGTTGCTGCGCAGAAGCGCATCACGTTGTCGTGGCGGTAGCGGTGGAAGCATATTTATCACAGGCAGGCAAAATATGGGCAACCGATAGAAAACATCCACCCACAGGGGGAACAGTTTTACCGCGTTGCACACTGTACCGCGCGGGTGAAAACAGCACTTCACGAATACCATACTCTGATGGAAAAAGGTGCATCAACGAAAATGTTTTACCGGCCGGGGGAGGTGCATATGCATACACTGGCATAGATATGTGGAGAAAGTCAGAATGTGAAAGTCATTTAAAGCTGAAAGCGGCGGGGTTTGCGGCACGCGACGGCAGCGTCGCCAGGTCTGACCTTGCCGGGCCGGAGGGACTCTCGGACGAACTCCAGCACCTGCTGCACGCTGTCCTTCTGCATGTGGAACACGTGGCCGGATGTGACGGCGGCAATGCGCTGGAACACGGCCTGGCCAGGCCCGTCGGGGTCTTCGCAGTTGCCCGTCAGCACGAACACGATCTGAAGTCAGGCGTCAGCCACACGGGGTCACGGGTCAACCGGGCGGGCTCCGGGGTCAGCTGGCTGAGGTCAAGGTCAGCCGACTGAGGTCCGAGGTCAGCCAGCTGGGCTCTGGGGCCAGCCGGCTAGGTCAAGGGTTACGGGGTCGCTCTCTGGGGCTACATGATGAACCAGACTTGCTGGGGTCACACACGGTACCGAGAGAACGGATGCTGAGAGGCTGACAGGCGAAGTGCCTTCATCGCGCATCGGCTTCAAACAACCTAGGATAACCAACACAATGTTCTGGTTCAGGGTACATCCAGGCACCGATGTTTCCAGCCCAGGAGGTCTGCGACGGCGAGTTTGTCAAGCTAAATGCCAAGGATCGTGTTTTCATGACAACCCTTAATGCGAAGAACCAATTCACTTCTAGCTCAATGGCATGAAACAAATTCTGCCATACATGGAAGGACGCGATTGCATTCAATTTGAGGGACGCACTCTTTCTGCATTTGTTCCGCATTTGTACCTGCACTTCATTTCATCTGCACAAATAACAATCATCTTTGCATGTCTTATCATGACAATGTTTCATGCTTCCATTCCACGGCGTGCCAATGGATTTAAAGTACTGCAATTTATCCAAACCTATGAATATGTGTATTCAAGGTGCTCCAGCGCAAAGCGATGCACAGTTGCCCAGCACGCCAAAGGCATCATGAAGTACATTCCCACCCGTCTCAACGGAAAAGATATGCACGCGCGGCGCAGTTCCGCAATGGCACGATGCGCCGCTTATCTCTGCAGACTTCACCCCACGCCTGCAAGGCCTCAGCGACACCGGCTCCATGTCACGCTGTCCAGCCGGGGCCGAGCGACAGGCATATATCCACGGCTCACGTGCGGCGACTTGTCACTGATGAGCGACAGGATCTCCTCCAGCAGGTGGTAGTCCTTGGCACTGGCGTCGGTGAAGACGTAGATGTGCGAGCCCGGCAGGGCCCTCTCCAGAGCCAGCTTCAGGCCTGGACGTCCGGATGACCGTCAGCACGGAAGGGTGCGGAGTAGTGGGCGAGATGTGCACACAGGAAGACCACTCTGGTGAGGACACAGGACAGGGGAGGAACCCAGGCGATTGATGACGTAGCGGTCGCTGCAGTAGGTACACACGGCTCCGAGGAAGCATCACACCGACCACGCGGGAAAGGTCAGCATGTTTGCTAGATTATATACGGACGGCCTTGAGGACCGCGTCGTGGACGATGACAGCGCGTAGTCGGCGGCTCGGGCGTTCTCGGGATGTCACCGAACAGTTCTGTCGTCCCCTACCCCGCGTGACTTCATAGTGTGGAGGCCGCGGGCGGATATGTTTATCATTAGCCGTCGTGTGTTGCCCACCGCTCTACCGCTCTTATGGCAGGGGACTCGTGATGACGCGCTGTTTACTCTCGTGCAGCACTTGAGCATGGTGTGAGACGAGCAAGCGACCGCAAACGACCGAGACCACATGTCGGCGTCCTTCGAAAGTCACCAGGCGGAAGGAGAAACGTCCGTGAACAAAACACCCTCGTCAGCACAGCGCCAGCTTTTTCACAGCTGTCGGTTGTGAAACATGCGTCACAAACGAAGCAAAACAAGACGTCAGAGACGTTTCTAATGTAACAAAAATCAAATGATCTATTCAAACTGTTGCCCATGGTGTAAATAGAGAATGCTGCAAGACATGCGCCCACTCCCAATTTCTAGCCATCCTCGTAAATGGATAAATAAAACTGACGCTAACAATTGTACTAATGCGGGCGTCTTGAAGCGCTCGACATAGGCCAGCCTCCATGCGGTTGGCCCGCCGCGGCTCCCGCCGAGGACCCCTTACCGGTGAGCGCCATTTCGGGACAGTCGCCGCCTCCGCGCACGTCCAGCGTCTTCAGGTTGTCGTAGAACTGGTGGTAGTCGTCGGTGACGATGGCTGGCCCGATCACTGCAGTCGGCAAGAGAAGGGCCGCTGATCAATAAACAGACGCAGGCAGCGGGAGGATCACGAGAGGCTCGATGACAGCTGGGCTTTCCGTACATCAGGCGCGTCAGATCGCCTATCGTCGGGGCTTGGGGGAGGGGAGGGGGGGGGGGGGACGGGAGCCTGGCTGCCCGTGCAGCCGTCGGCAGCCCGGTGCAGTCCACTAAGGCGCGTGAGTACGTCATCACCGCAGAGGACGAAAACCATTCGTTGACAAGATGAGAGGAAACACGTGTGCCCGGCACTTTACCGTAATAGTCATTTCAGATAACTTGAAACATTTTTCATTTGTTACCGCGCACAGGGGCGAATCCAGAGGGAGAGGGCACGGGGAGATGGACCCCCCCCCCCCTTGGGCCCCGAAGGGGCCCATTGGCTCCGAGCGGCCCACAGTCAGCCGAACTGGTGGAGTTTGTTATCACAAAACGCAACAAACTGTGTATCTCTGGACCTCCAGGCGACCAAGAACAGTTGTAAGCGAAAGTGAAGGGCGTATGAGAAGTCAAAAAAGTATTCAGTAATTGCAAAGGTTGTGAACTGGAAATAACAAGCCCCACTACACTGTCTACGGCCCCCATGCTGTTTCCGGGGACCTATATGCCCACTTGCAGGATCATGCCGATCGTTAAGGAGCATTCCGCGTTGCCCTTCATTTCTTTGCATTTGCTCGGAGGACCCTGCGCTGTTGTTGGGGCCCTTCCTGCTACCGTGTCGGGGCAATCTTGTCAATCACGGGCCCTTCCACCGATTTTTTCCATTCGCCAGAAAGTCTCTGTGAGCTATAGCCGGGGTCCCATATCTTAGCCTACCGGGGTGTTCTCGGTTGCTCAGGGGCCCTTTACCTGGGTCTCGGTTAACCTACCGACGCCCTTGCGATATGCCCATGGGCCCTTTCCATCGGTCTAGGGCGTCTCCAATTTTCTGTCACTTGCTTAGAGCCCTACACTCTTGTCGGGGGCCCATCTAATGGCCCGCTTGGACACACTCAGTCGTTCGGGGGCCCTCCACACTGGGTCCGGGGTACTTCTTTTCTGCATGGGGGCCCTACGGCCTTGCGGGGAGGCCTATCTGATAACCTGCTCGGGTACATTCGATCGTTCGGGGGTCCTCTACATTGGGCCTTGGACCAGTGCTGTTTGAATCGGGCCCTACGCACTTGTCGGGGGCGCCTCTGTTCGCGTCCTCGGCCACACTGGTTTGCTGGAGGGGGGGGGGGGGGGCTGCACACTGCTTCTTGGTGTTTGAATTTAGGGCCCTCTGCTCCCATCGGGGTCATCTGATGACCTGTTCGGGCACAATCCACCTTTCGGGGCCCCCTCGCACTGGGCTTTAGGTACTTCTTATTTTAATGGTGGGCTTTACGCTCCTGTCGGGGCCCTTCTGATAAGATTCTCGGGCCCATTCGATCATGGGGGCCTCTACATCTGGTTTTGGGTACCTCCTTTTTGAATGGAGGGCCCTCCACTCTTTTCGAGGTCCCTATCTGTTAACTTGCTGTCGCGTCCTGGATTATTCGGGACCCTCTTCATCGTGTCGTGGGTATTTCATATTTGAACGGAAGGCCCTCCCCATCTGTTAATCTGTTCGGGCACACTCCAATATGCGGCGACCCTTCACATTGTCTCCTGGGCGCTACCTATCTGAATGGAGGGCCATATGCACTTGTCGGGGACCCATCTGATCGCCGCTTTGGCCACACTGGATTGTTCGGGGGCCCTATATGTTGGTTTGGTGTTTGAATTTAGGGCCCTACACTGCTGTCTGGGCCACCTGATAATCTGCTCGAGAATACCCCATCTTTCGGGGGCCATCCGCACTGGGTTTTGGGTACTTCTCATTTCAATGGAGGACTCTGTGCTCTTGACGGAGGCCCTTTATGTTAACTTACCCTGACACACTCGGCCATTCGGGGCCCTCTGCATGGGGTCTTGAAAACTTCCTGTTTGAATGGAGGGCCTTACGCTCTTTTTGGGAACCTTATCTGCCAACCTGCTCTGGCACACTCGATCATTCGGGGGCCCTCTACATTGGATCTTGGGTAATATCTATTTGAATTGAGGGCCCTACGCTCTTGACGGGACCCTTTATAATAACCTGTCCGGACGCTCTCGATCGTTCAGAGCCCTACACATCGCGTTGTGAGCATTTCTTACTTGAATGGATGATCCCATGTTCTTGGCGAGCCCCATCTATTAAGCTGCTCGGGCCTGTGGTGGATGCAGAGGGTTGGCAAGGCACAGCACCATGTCCCATGGACCCTGCCGAGGCGGACCTAAAAGCTCCGAAGGGGCCCATTATCGGCCGGACGGGCGCAGTTTTCCTACAACAAAAACACAACAAAATTGGGTGCCTTTGGGCCTTCAGACGACCAAAAACCCCTGTCAGCAAACAAGCAAACAAAGTTTAATCCTCGTTAATTGAAAAACGATGTTGTTTGGGGGAACTTTTGGGGCTCATTGCGCTGTCTAGAGGCATTACGCTGTTGGTTGCCTGGCCCTATATGTCCACTCGCCGGATCAACCTGATTGTGATCTGATTTTCCGTGGCTGCATATGCCAGGGTACACTCAGTTGCTCAGGAGCCCTTCAGATAAGTCTCGTGTTATTTCCACTTGTTTGGAGGGCCTTGTGCTGTTGCTAAGGCTTTTTCAAGGTAAGGTACGGAAACACTCAATGCTCAGGAGCCCCCTACTTTGATCGAGGGCTCTCTCCCTTGGGTCTCGTTTGCGGAGGACTCTTCACTCCTATCGAGGCTCGTGTTGTTAACCTGCCCGTGCACTCTTGATCGCACAGGGGTATCTATTTATGGTCTTGGATAATCCCCCTCTGCTAGGAAGGTCCTGTGCTCCGGCTGGGGCCTTGTATGTCAGCCTGCCAAGGCACTGCCGATCGTTTAGGGGCCACCACGCTGGTCTTGGGTTCTTTTTGCTTGCCCTGCGGGCCCTATACTTGTTGACGGGAGCCACTTTGTTGGCCTCCTGTGACACCCATGATCGTTCGGGTTCCGTCCTTATTGGCCTTGGCGCCTTCGCCTTAGGCAGCAGCCGAATATGCACCGATGAAGTTTTATGCGCAATTGCCAAACGTAATTCTACATGCCGACGATGTCGTATGTGTCATTTCCATTGCCTATGTGACATTGATTATACGAGTGCATCACGTTCTTAACACATTTGACTGCTAGAACATGCTGTACTCCTTTATAACAAAGGAAAAATTCCGCATTAGTCATCAGCTATTAGCTGAGCACATCGCACAGCCGCCTAGCCGTAAATACATAAGCTAGGAATCAAGTCCATGCTTGGTTTTGACGGTTGTTAGCAGCCAACTCGAGTTTATTTTGCCTGTTGTTCCGAAGCACTTAGCCTGAAAATCGCAGCATTTGACTTGATCTGTAGAAAGTGAGTGAGCTTTATGTGCATGCATGCTTAGCATGCCTAGCTTAATTGGGCTGTGCATAGTAGGATGTGTTTCCGTATTTATGAAATAAATGAATAAGTAAATGCATATACGTATATACCCATATATACATGCACATATACGTACACACACATACATACCTACACACACACATATATATATATATATATATATATATATATATATATATATATATATTATTGCATACGTCTTGTCTTAAAATGCAATGACCGAAATGCAAGTATATTTACTGAAAGGGTCCCAAACTCCAGGGGCCCCACAATGTTGCGTGCCCCCCTCCCTTGACGAAATCCTGGATCTGCCCTTGGTCACGCAACTGTTGCTCACTTAAGACTAGCTATGTTTAGCAATGCTGATCCCAAAATTGTTCCACGCAGTCCACATCAACTTCGGAGGCCATCGACGAGGGTAATTTCCCTCCTGGACGATTTTCATCCAAGACATGAATCAGGACAAGGTCATCAACTGCGGCCTCGTCTCGTTCGACCAGACCGAGATCTGGCCCCGCATCCAGAGCCCGCTGATCCCCATCGGCAAGATGCTGCTCAACAGGAGCCCCAGGTAAAACTTCGCCTAGGTGAAGCAGCTGGCCTTCGCGCCGGCCAACATGCCGCCGAGCGTCGAGGCCGGTCCGCACAGGATGCTGCAGGGTCACCTCTTTTCATACCCGGACACGCACCGGCACCGGCTGGGGCCCAGCTACTTGCAAATTCCGGTCAAATGCCCGGTCAAGACGCGCGCGCACGACTACCAGCGCGGCGGGCCCATGTGCATCAACGAGAACCAGGCGGGCGAGCACGATCACCTTCCCAACAGCTTCAGCTGTCTGCAGGAGTGCCGAAGGCGAGGCAGGCCGAGAGCAAGCAGGTGGTTAAGGGCTAGGCGAGCAGGTACAACGAGTCAGACAACAACACGTCCCAGGAGCGTGCCCCTGGGAGCAGACGCTGAAGGAGGAGCGCTAGCGCCTTGCCGACAACATGGGTGGCCGCGCCAGTGACACACAGCCCTTCATACAGGCCGACATCATTAAGCACTGAAGAATGTTGTGCGAGTTCTTCGGGAAGTCGCATTCGTGACGCTCGTCTCAAACACGACACTCCCAAGAAGGCCGGGGAGCTGAAGACGCTGCTGGCGTAAACGGAAGATGGTGGAGGACGAGGCCATGCAGATGAATATGAGTATGTTGACGAACTTGGTGGTGTAACAAAATGCGGTGGTGATATCCATAAAGTTCGTTGTCAGTTCAGCGCGCCAGATCTGTCTTTCCCTTTTCCATATTTCCAAGGAGCTGGAGAGGGTGTAGTGAGTTTTTTAAAAGTCGTTATTTTTCGAAAATATATGCAATAACTGTTGTGAAAAACGACCAACTGGAGCTACAGGAATGTAACCAGTGCAATACGCCCCCCCCCCCCTCTCTCCCCCACCTCTCTCTTTCTCTCTCCCTCTCCCTCTTTCTCTCTCTCTCTCTCTCTCGCTAATAATAATAATAATAATAATAAAGGCCAACACTTCCGTTTGGACTCC